CTGTTGACCTCATTGAACCTTTGTAAACATGTATACACGAGAATTAAGCAAACGGTCACTCTAGTATATGTATTGTGGGGGATTTCCAAGACAAAGTGGGCAAGGAACAAAGCCTCTGATCCTAATTTTCAGGAGCAGAAAGATTCAGGTCCTTTTTCTGAATGGAAAAGGTGCAAGAGGGGGAATTCCACCAGGTCATTAAACTGAATTTGGACTCTATATGGATTGATGCATAGGTGATGCACCCTCCCTTTGGATATAGAATCGAGACTCTGCAGAAGTCAAACCTGCAGGTGTGGAGGGCTTCCCATTTGTATAAAATGCAGTGAAACATTGCAAGAGAACAGCAAGAAGAACCCCAAGCCATTCAGCCTGGCCTCCTCCAGAAGCCACTTGGGACTGCCGTCGGCCATCCCAAAGGAGGTCATTCCGGTGCCTCAAGGCAACGTCAGTCAAGATGTGATTCATACTTTATGAAGATGATAGAATGATGAGCAATGGACTGAGATTTGAGCAAGTAACTTCAGCCCCTCAACTTAGAATGGGGTCAAGATGGGCATCGGAGCCTGGAGGCCATTGCTTGCAATCTATGCTATATTTCTCTCTGCTCTTCCCCTCCCTTGACAGTGTGTTTTTTTTTCCAGTCGAAAGGGAGGGAGGGAGGGAAAGGAAGATAGATTTCATGCCCTCCTTGTTCAAACTCACCCAGTTTCCTGGCTTTCTGTGTGTATCTAAATGTATTAACTTTATATGTTCCTTTTTTGTTCCCTTGGAAGTGGTGTTCACTGGCTTTTGCAAGCCCTATAGATCTATAAATATGTTTCTATTAGGTCTGTTTGATCAAGAAAAAATTTGTTTCTAAAATCGATTTGTAATTGGGGTGTTTTTTTGTTTCGATATTTAAAATAATTACAAAACTTTCCCAAAAAAAGTTTTGGTATTTACGAAATTTTGTAAATATTAACGAATTTTTAGAATATTTTTTGTATTTTTTAAGAATAATATTAAAATAATATTGAAAAATATTTAAAAATGGAAAATTAACCAAAAAATGGCCCAAATGTGGACCAAACACAGGCAGGAGACAGCAAATGAGAGCACACACCAACAGAAGAGTCTTTTCTTTTTTAGAATATTTTTTAAAAATAATATTAAAAAATAATATTAAAAAATAATATTAAAAAATATTTAAAAATGGAAAATTAACCAAAAAATGGCCCAAATGTGGACCAAACACAGGCAGGAGACAGCAAATGAGAGCACACACCAACAGAAGAGTCTTTTCTTTTTTAGAATATTTTTTAAGAATAATATTAAAATAATATTAAAAATAATATTAAAAAAAATATTAAAAATATTTTAAAATGGAAAATTAACCAAAAAATGGCCCAAATGTGGACCAAACACAGGCAGGAGACAGCAAATGAGAGCACACACCAACAGAAGAGTCTTTTCTTTTTTAGAATATTTTTTAAGAATAATATTAAAATAATATTAAAAAATAATATTAAAATAATATTAAAAAATAATATTAAAATAATATTAAAAATAATATTAAAAATATTTTAAAATGGAAAATTAACCAAAAAATGGCCCAAATGTGGACCAAACACAGGCAGGAGACAGCAAATGAAGCAAGCAGCACTCACAGCAGCAAGGAATGAATCCATTAATCCAGTTGCTAGCAGCCAAGCCAACCCAATGCAAACTCCCTCGCCCTCTGCAGCAAGCTAGCTACGGCCGCGCGGAGCCGCTTTGAAAGGGCTCGCCGGCCAATCAAAAACAAACAGCCACGGACCCACGGTGCACTGCTTGGGAGCGCCGGATTGGCTCCCAGGCACCAGCACTCCAGCAGCCTCCACCCCATTAACGAAACGAGCGGAAGCTCGTTAAATCTATGGGGGTTGCTGGTTCGATATTTTAAAACCCTTCCGGGTTTGGAAATGTGTTTTGATATCGCTTCGGAAATGCCAAAAATAACGAATTAATAACGAATTAACGAATTAACGAACGAAACCGCACAGGCCTAGTTTCTATATATGCATTTTTCTCCTGAAGTCTATGCAAACCATATATATCCATTAATCTTATTTTCCCCTGAAATATTTGTTAATCTCTCCTACATATATAGGCAGTAGGGCTGGGCAACCACGGAGAAATTTGTTTCTAAAATCGATTCGTTTTTTGGGGGTTTTTGCGTTTCGATTTTTAAAAGAATTCCGAAATTTTTCTTTTAAAAAGTTCGATATTTACGAAATTTCGTAAATTACAAAACAATACGAAACAATTACGAATCGATTCGTTAATGGCGGACGCGACCGCGCAATACGCTAAAAAACCTCCAAATGGGACAGGGGGAACTTCTGAAGCTTCCCTCTCCCTCTGTTGTTGACTGTTGGTGTGATATTTATAATTTTTTTTCACTGATTAAACAAACAACAACTATAAAACTTGCCCCAGACATGCGGAAATAATAACGAAACGATTTCAAAACAATAACGAAACGAATACAAAACGAATTCGAAACAATTACGAAACGAATTTAAAAATTCGTTTCGTTTTTTAGTTGCTCCTGAATGGTTCGTTATCGCTTCGTTATAAAAAAAAACAAAAACAAATTTTTAACGAATTACGAAATTACGAAACGAAACCACCCAGCCCTAATAGGCAGTTCCCCCTGCAAGCCTTTGCAGTCCCTATGTACCTATATATCTCTATCTATCTATCTGTCTATCTATCTATCTATCTATCTATCTATCTATTGATATATATTAATTTTATGTATGAATTTTCCCCTCATATGTTTGCAGGTCTTTGCAAATGCTACATAGATGGATGGATGGATGGATGGATGGATGGATGGATGGATGGATAGATAGATAGATCCATGTACCTGTGTTTCTGTATAGGGTTTGTGTATATTTATAGTTATTTTCTGTTCTGGTATGGAATGCTTGCCATATTTATGTTGTGCTCTACCCTAAGTCCCCTTTGGGGTGAGAAGGGCGGAAATAAATGCTTCAAATAAACAAATAAATATATGTATACATTATTTTTATATGTGAATTTTCCCCTCACTTGTTTGCAAGTCTCTGCAAATCCTAAGTAGATATAGGTATCAGTAAATATATACAGGTGTGTGTGTGTGTGTGTGTATATATATATATATCTGTGTGTGTGTATATAATTTTATATATGAATTTTCCCCTCACATGTTTGCAAGTCTCTGCAAATCCTATATAGATATAATTATCTATATATAGAGAGATGTCTATATAGATATATATGAATATAGATATATAGGGCTTGCAAATTTTACAGGGGGGAAATGCACACAAATATATATAGACATGTCTAGATAGATATGAACATAGATATATAGGGCTTGCAAATATTGCAGAGGAAATGCACACACACATAGAGAGAAATGTCTAGATAGATATGAATACAGATATATAGGGCTTGCAAATATTACAGGGGAAATGCACATACAAATATATATAGAGATGTCTAGATACGAATATAGATATATAGGGCTTGCAAATATTACAGGGGGGAATGCACACACAAATATATATAGACATGTCTAGATAGATATGAATGTAGATATATAGGGCTTGCAAAATTGGCAGGGGAAATGCACACACACAGAGAGAGAGAGAGAGATGTCTAGATAGATGTGTGTGTGTGTATAGGGTTTGCAAATATTACGGGGAAATTTACACACAAATATATATAGACACGTCTAGATATGCATATAGATATATAGAGCTTGCAAATATTGCAGGGTAAATACACACATATATAGAGAGATGTCTAGATACATATACACATAGATATATAGGGCTTGCAAATATTGCATGGGAAATACACACAGAGAGAGATATGTCTAGATAGATATAAACATAGATATATAGAGCTTGCAAATATTGCAGGGTAAATACACACTTATATAGAGAGATGTCTAGATACATATACACATAGATATATAGGGCTTGCAAATATTGCAGGGGAAATACACATACACATAGAGAGATGTCTAGATAGATAGATATGAATATAGATATAAAGGGCTTGCAAATATTGCAGGGGAAATGCACACACAAATATATATAGACATGTCTAGATATGCATATAGATATATAGAGCTTGCAAATATTGCAGGAGAAGTACACACATATATAGAGAGATGTCTAGATACATATAAACATAGATATATAGGGCTTGCAAATATTGCAGGGGAAATACACATACACATAGAGAGATGTCTAGATAGATAGATATGAATATAGATATAAAGGGCTTGCAAATATTGCAGGGAAAATGCACACATGCATAGAGAGAGATATGTCTGGATAGATATATATGAATATAGATATATAGGGCTTGCAAATATTACGGGGAAATGCACACACAAATATATATAGACATGTGTAGATACGAATATAGATATATAGGGCTTGTAAATATTGCAGGGGAAATGCACACATACATAGAGAGAGATGTCTAGATAGATAGATATGAATATAGATATATAGGGCTTGCAAATATTGCAGGGGAAATACACACACACACACACACACACAGATGTCTAGATAGATATAAACATAGATATATAGAACTTGCAAATATTGTAGGGGAAATGCACACACACACACAGAGAGATGTCTAGATAGATATAAACATAGATATATAGGGCTTGCAGATGTTGCAGGAGGGAAATGCACATATATAGAGAGGGGATTTGCAAATGTTTCAGGGGGCAATGCATACGTGAAATCGGTATATATAATTATAGGTCTATATCTAGCTCTGCATTGTTTATATAGGCATTGAATGTTTGCCTGTTACTATGTTGGAAGCCGGCCTGTGTCCCCATGGGGAGATGGGGCGGGATACCAATGAAGTTGTATTATGGTGATGATGGTATAGTCCAGCACGTGCTTTAAGTTCAAGGACACCTTTTGATTCATGTGCTTTATTCTTTGTCCTACATTTAGGAACCGAGTTTGAATACACTGACTCAGAGAGTGAGGTGAAGATCAGGAAGAAATCTCCCTCTGGGTTGCTACGTGGAAAGAAGGGCCTGCTGGACCCAAGCAGTGCCGCGGCGATCCAGTCCATAAGCGCCATGGATCCCACTCCAGGCGGGAGCGCGGACAAGGCCAAGATGGCCCCCGAAAAGAACCGGAAGCTGAAGAAGTTCAAGTCCCCCAAGGACCTGCCCTTTGAGTTTGGCCTGGAAGTGAGCGACGACGATCTCTGGACCCGGCGGAGGAGCGAGCGGATCTTCCTTCACGATGCCACCATGTCCTCGCCCGCCTTGTCCCCCGCGACGGCAAACGGCTCCACCTCCATTTCCAAAGCGGGGCGCTGCGTGAAGGGCGCCTCCCTGAGCCCCAAGAAAGAGGGGAGCAAAGGGAAGGAGCGGAAAGAGCTCAGCAAGGTATTTTGTTTTTTTATTTATTGTATCATTAGTGAACCAAAGCTACAGTTGTAATGTAATTGAAAACACACAAAGTTTTAAAAACTTGGCATAATACTAAATGTCCTTTGTCCAGAAGCTGGCCACTTGGAGTGCCTCTGGTGTTGCTATAAGAAGGTCCTCCACGGTGCGTGTGGCAGGGCTCAGGCTGCATTGTAGTAGGTGGTCTGCACTCACATGTCGGGGACTCCACTTTGTGGCCCCATTTCGTAAGGTTGGCTCTGCATCTTGTGGTGCCGGAGTGCAGTCCGTTCAGCGCCTTCCCGGTCATCCACTTTTCTTTGTGCCCAGGAGGGAGTTTCTCATCTGGTCTCAGCCACTGATTGAGGTAGAATCCGAGAATGTTTTACCATCCTTGTGGGAGGCATCTCTCATGTCCCCGTATGGGGAGCTGGAGCTGACAGAGGGAGCTCACCCTTACTCTCCTCAGATTCGAACCTGCAACCTGTCGGTCTTCAGTCCTGCCTGCACAAGGGTTTAACCCATTGCGCCACTGGGAGCCCCTATTCCAACCCACAGGAAAATTGGATTATAGTTTAGGTTATTGTGTGTCCTCCTCACATTGTTTTTGATTTGTTGTAGTTAAAGGTCATAGAATCCTAGAATCCTAGAGTTGGAAGAGACCTCGTGGGTCATCCAGTCCAACCCATTCTGTCAAGAAGCAGAAATATTGCATTCAAAGCACCCCCGACAGATGGCCATCCAGCCTCTGTTCAAAAGCCTCCAAAGAAGGAGCTTCCGCCGCACTCCAGGGCAGAGAGTTCCACTGCTGAACAGCTCTCACAGACAGGAAGTTCTTCCTCATGTTCAGGTGGAATCTCCTTTCTTGTAGTTTGAAGACATTGTTCCTAGTCTCCAGGGCAGCAGAAAACAAGCTTGCTCCCTTCTCCCTATTATTTATTTATTTATTTATTTATTATTTATTTATTCATGTATTTATACTCAGCCCTTCTTCCCCCCCCCCCCCCCCCCCCCCGAAGGGGGATTCAGGGCGGCCTAACACAAGCACCGTACAATGCTGTCACCATATAAACAGTCCAATTACACACACCAGTTAAAACCAAATCCAAGTCTGGGTTGATTCAATGTCGCAGGTATCCTAAGTCTTCTTTCCAGTTGCCACTGTCCACTATGACCTCCTCTCACGTATTTATACATTTCCCTCATCATGTCTCCTCTCAGCCTTCTCTTCTTCAGGCTAAATATGCCCAGCTCTTTAAGCCGCTCCTCATAGGGCTTGTTCTCCAGACCCTTGATCATTTTAGTCGCCCTCCTCTGGACACATTCCAGCTTGTCAACATCTCCCTTCAATTGTTGTGCCCAGAATTGGACACAGTATTCCAGGTGTGGGGTAATAAATAGTTCTCTAAGATCAACAGGGACACCTCAGCAAGCAAGAGTTGAAAAGTGGCAGGCTAAAACCCAGCAGAATACACTGCTGGGTTTTAGCCTGCCACTTTTCAACTCTTGCTTGCTGAGGTGTCCCTGTTGATCTTAGAGAACTATTTATTGATTTAAGTCATTGGCGTGCTGGCTGATATGCAAACAGGGAGTGGGTTGGAGATGTCACTGTGTTGGTCCATCATCATTATTTGGTTTTATTTTGCTGTAATTTGTTGTTTGGGCTTGGCCTCATGTAAGCTGCCCCGAGTCCCCGTTGGGGAGATAGTGGCAGGGTATAAATAAAGATGATGATGATGATGATTATTATTATTATTTCCTGGCGGATGTCAGGTGATGCAATACCGGCTACACAGTATAATTTATCCAGTAGCATAGGGCGCAGACATCCTGTGTCTCATTAAGAGCCTCCACTGTTTTAGTGTGGTGAGATGTGTTCCACACTGGGCATGCATACTCAGCAGCAGAGTAGCCAAGTGCAAGGGCAGATGTCTTCACTGAGTCTGGTTGTGATCCCCAGGTTGTGCCAGTCAGCTTTCGTATGATATTGTTCCTAGCGCCCACTTTTTGCTTGATATTCAGGCAGTGCTTCTTGTAGGTCAGAGCACGGTCCAGAGTGACTCCCAGGTATTTGGGTGTGCTGCAATGCTCCAATGGGATTCCTTCCCAGGTAATCCTCAGAGCTCGGGATGCTTGTCTGTTCTTAAGGTGAAAAGCACATGTCTGTGTTTTAGATGGATTAGGGATCAGCTGGTTTTCCCTGTAATAGGCAGTAAGAGCACCTAGAGCTTCGGAGAGCTTCTGTTCAACCATCTCAAAGCTCCCTGCTTGAGCAGTGATGGCACGATCATCAGCATAGATGAAACTCTCTGTCCCTTCTGGCAGTGGCTGGTCATTTGTGTAGATGTTGAACATGGATGGAGCAAGCACACTCCCCTGAGGCAGGCTGTTCTTCTGTTTCCGCCATCTGCTTCTCTGGCCCTGGAACTCAACAAAAAAGCTCCTGTTTTGTAGCAGGTTTCCTGTTTTAGCGTGGTGAGATGTGTTCCACACTGGGCATGCATACTCAGCAGCAGAGTAGCCAAGCGTAAGGGCAGATGTCTTCACTGTATCTGGTTGTGATCTCCAGGTTGTGCATAGCAAGGGTATGAAAAATGTGTTCCCAGGTAAGGTGGTGGCAATCGATTGGATTGCTAGTGTCACCTTCCCATTCCACTATACATCTCCTTTGCTCCTCCTAACAAACTTTACTGACCAAGGTTTTCCTTGTTATCTTTGGTTGTGCAGAAGAAGAAGAACAAAGAAGGTCCGTTCTGCTCGTCTTTGTCGTCGTCCTCCTCCTCGTCTTCCTCCTCCCTCTCCCCTCCGGGCATTGCCAGCTCTCCACCAGACATCCGCACCAGCTTGGCAAACTCCCTGAGCTCCAGCAAGAAGAGCAAAGGCAAGGGCAAAACTAAAGAGGTGAAGAAAGAGGTAAGGGCCAAGGCCTCAGAACAGAACCATCTTGGCCATGTGTTCATGGAGCAAGTAAATCAGACCGATAGCATGTATATATGTCTGTGTGGCCGCCATTCTTGAGAAATGGATGCCACATACTCGGCCTCGCCAGAAACCCCACAAAGACTGACCTTCGTTCATCTTTAGTGTTTAGTCGTCTGTAAGATTGGATTACTGTAATGCGCTCTACGTGGGGCTGCCCTTGAAAACGGCTTGGAAATTCCAACTGGTTCAACGGGCGGTGGCCAGGATGTTAACTGGTGCTCCTTAGAGAGAGAGGCCAACCCTTCTGTTTAAGGAGCTCCATTGGATGCCGTTTACTTACCGAGTCCAATTTAAGGTGCAGGTGCTTACCTACAAAGCCCTGAACGGTTTGGGACCTGCCTACCTGCGTGACTGCATCTCTGTGTATGAACCCACATGATCCCTTCGTTCATAGAATCATAGAGTTGGAAGAGACCTCCTGGGCCATCCAGTCCAACCCCATTCTGCCAAGAAGCAGGAATATTGCATTCAAATCACCCCTGACAGATGGCCATCCAGCCTCTGTTTAAAAGCTTCCAAAGAAGGAGCCTCCACCACACTCCGGGGCAGAGAGTTCCACTGCTGAACGGCTCTCACAGTCAGGAAGTTCTTCCTCATGTTCAGATGGAATCTCCTCTCTCGTAGTTTGAAGCCATTGTTCCGCGTCCTAGTCTCCAAGGAAGCAGAAAACAAGCTTGCTCCCTCCTCCCTGTGGCTTCCTCTCACATATTTATACATGGCTATCATATCCCCTCTCAGCCTTCTCTTCTTCAGGCTAAACATGCCCAGCTCCTTAAGCCGCTACTCATAGGGCTTGTTCTCCAGACCTTTTATCATTTTAGTCGCTCTCCTCTGGACACATTCCAGCTTGTCAATATCTCTCTTGAATTGTGGTGCCCAGAATTGGACACAATATTCCAGGTGTGGTCTAACCAAAGCGGAATAGAGGGGTAGCATTACTTCCCTGAACCTAGACACTATGCTCCTCTTGATGCAGGCCAAAATCCCATTGGCTTTTTTTGCCGCCACATCACATTGTTGGCTCATGTTTAACTTGTTGTCCACGAGGACTCCAAGATCTTTTTCACACGTACTGCTCTCGAGCCAGGCATCCCCCATTCTGTATCTTTGCATTTCGTTTTTCCTGCCAAAGTGGAGTATCTTACATTTGTCACTGTTGAACTTCATTTTGTTAGTTTTGGCCCTTCGCTCATCCGGAGAGGCCCTGCTTGCGATCTCACCTGCGTCACAGGCGCGTTTGGTGGGGACGAGGGACAGGGCCTTCTCTGTGGTTGCCCCCGACTCTGGAACACCCTCCCCAAAGACATTAGACTAGCACCCACGTTGGCAGTCTTTAGGAAGAATCTGAAGACCTGGCTATTCTGATGTGCCTTTCCAGAATAGGATAAACTCCAGCACTACGTCCCAGAAGCACTTTATTAGAGCTTAAGACTCTCTGCACATTGCACTTGCCCGGAAATCCAAATACCACCTGCCACACCCAGCACTTTTTAACTTGTACCCATCACTGGCCCGGCCCTGGTTTTATTGCGTAATTGATGTATTGTTTTTTATTGCTTATGTTTTATTTTGCTTTAAATTGTACTGTTATTGTTTTGCTGTTGTTGTGTTGAGGCCTTGGCCTTTGTAAGCCGCATCGAGTCCTGCGGGAGATGCTAGCGGGGTACAAATAAAATTTAATAATAATAATAATAATAATAATAATAATAATAAGTTGACTCTGACGTGTTGTCAACTCTGACATGCTAAGGAAAGCCTCCCCCTGAGTGTCGTTGGCAAAGAGGAGAGGGTTCTGAGGCTGAGAGAGAGAGAATGGGAGTTGCCCAAGATCACCTAGTGAGCGGGGATTCTGATTTTGGCCTTCAAAGCCATAGCTAATTAATTTATTATTATTTATTCACAGTATTTGTATATTGCTTTTCTCACCCCGAGGGGAACTCAAAGCGGTTTACACAAAAGTAATGGCAAAATTCAATGCCAGTACAAACAATTACAATTATACACTACAATTAGACATAAATCAAGTTAAAAACAGTACATCCACAAGCACTAAAACAATAATGAAAACAATAAAACAGTCTCGTCCGTCGAATCGCCGTTCCAGTCATTGTCTTTCTGAAATGCTGCACACATTTACTTCTACTGCCCGAAGGCCTGATCCCAGAACTATAATTTTAATTTTTTTCTAAAAGCCAGGAGGGAGGGAGCGGATCTTACCTCATTTTGGAGTGTGTTCCACAGGCGGGGGGCCACAGCCGAGAAGGCCCTGTCTCTTGTCCCTGCCAGACGCATCTGTGCTGTTGACGGGACCGAGAGCAGGGCCTCTCCGGATGATCTTAGATTACGAGGTGGGACGTAAGGGTGCATGCGTTCGGACAAGTAAGCTGGGCCAGAACCGTAGTTAAGCCTTTGACCACTGCACTGACTTGACTCTGACTTAGGTAAAAGGTTTCCCCTGATGTTAAGTCCAGTTGTGTCCAATTCTGGGGGTTGGTGCTCATCTCCATTTCTAAGCCGAAGAGCCAGCGTTGTCCATAGACACCTCCAAGGTCATGTGACCGGCATGACTGCATGGAGCTCCGTTACCTTCCCACCAAAGTGGTACCTATTGATCTACTCACAAACTGTTGTCAAACTGCTAGATTGGTAGAAGCTGGGGCTAACTATGGGAGCTCACCCCGCTCTCCAGATTCGAATCTGCAACCTTTTGGTCACAAAGTTCAGCAGCTTAACATTCTAACTCACTGTGCCAACGTGGGACTTATGACAACTGTATTGTTAGGGATTCCTCATCTTTGGAAGAGGAAGGGGAGCAGGGAAGTGCTCAGGAATTGGAGGCAGAAGGAGAATCAGACAATGAGGTTTTGAAAGTGCCCACATTTCTAGAGAGATGAAAAGAGACAGAGCAAAGAAGGCGTTCAGCTAGAATAGCTGCTAAAAACGCTGAGCTAATTGGGAGACGCCCTAGCACCTCCTGCATGGGGAATTCAGGGCTAAAAATCAGTAGCAGGACCCTGATACTGATGTTTTCACTCCAATGGAATCTGCTTTGTGTCTGCTGCTAAAGACTTAGTTCATTGCCCGTTGTCTGATGGAAGACTGATGTTTCTTTTGGGACTTTGTAAGAGACTTTAAATTTGTGTCTGGATTAAAACTTATCTGCTTTGTATTGTTGAAGGCTTTCATGGCCGGAATCACTTGGTTGTTGTAGGTTTTTTCGGGCTATATGGCCATGGTCTAGAGGCATTCTCTCCTGACGTTTCGCCTGCATCTATGGCAAGCATCCTCAGAGGTAGTGAGGTCTGTTGGACCTAGGAAAAAGGGTTTATATATCTGTGGAATGACCAGGGTGGGACAAAGGACTCTTGTCTCCACTTTGTAACTCCTCAACAGATGGCAGTACTGGTATGCGGCAGGTACTGGCTTGTTCAGTAGACTCTCCTCTACAGTTCCCATTTGGCGGGAAGCCTTAGCATTGAATAGTTGTGTTGTTAAAGTGTCAAGTATGGAACCCTGTGCAGACGGTCGGTCAATGTGACTTAAGCAATGTGCAGTCATTGAATTCTTGACATCAGAAGGTGTCACTCCAAAGGAGACTCATCGGAGAATACAAGCTGTTTATGGGGATTGTGTTGATGTGTGTACTGTTCGTCGTTGTGCGAGTAAGTTGTGTTGTGACTTGCACCACAATCACCAGACAATTGGATACATTTCTGCCAATGATGAACACGTTTCCTGTAGCCGTCACAGAAGAAGTCGACAATCTTGTTTCTGAAACCAGTGTCTCACAGTTCTCTCATTCTGGGTACTCGTTGTGGGAACATCTGACTTGCGTGACAAACAAAGAGTTGGACGTCCTGTGACAGCAACCACCGAGTTTCACAAGCAAAAGGTTGACAGATTGATTCAGGACGATCGTCGTATCACTCAGAGAGAAATTTCAAGCATAATCGGCATTTCACAAGAACGTGTGGGTGACATTATTGCTTTGGTTGGCTATCAGAAGATCTGTGCACGACGGGTACCCAGGATGAGGGAACTGTGAGATGCTGGTTGCAGAAACAGAGTGTCGACTTCTTTTCATAGAATCAAAGAGTTGGAAGAGACCTCATGGGCCATCCAGTCCAACCCCATTCTGCCAAGAAGCAGGAATATTGCATTCAAATCACCCCTGACAGATGGCCAAAGATGGCTCCAAAGAAGGAGCCCCCACCACACTCCGGGGCAGAGAGTTCCACTGCTGAACGGCTCTCACAGTCAGGAAGTTCTTCCTTATGTTCAGATGGAATCTCCTTTCTTGTAGTTTGAAGCCATTGTTTCCGCGTCCTAGTCTCCAAGGAAGCAGAAAACAAGCTTGCTCCCTCCTCCCTGTGGCTTCCTCTCACATATTTATACATGGCTATCATATCTCCTCTCATCCTTCTCTTCTTCAGGCTAAACATGCCCAGCTCCTTAAGCCGCTCCTCATAGGGCTTGTTCTCCAGACCCTTGATCATTTTAGTCGCCCTCCTCTGGACACATTCCAGCTTGTCAATATCTCAATATCTTTTGTGGCAGCTTCAGAAAACGTGTTCATTGTTGGCAGAAAAGTATCCAATTGTCTGGTGATTATGTGGAAAAGTGGGTAGTGGTAGTTAAAGAGCACATTCTAAGGATTATTTCTGCGTTTGATTTATTCAAATATTCCCATCCAAACCCAAGTAACGAAGGTGGAGGTATTACTTTTCATTCAACCCTCGTCCTTTCACATACCTTCCAGGGCACCAAAACATCTATGTTTGTGAGATTGAGACTTTTTAGGAGGGTGGGTGGGATGTTCCAGGGGTCTCAAAAGAAGGCTTCACGGGCTGCGTAGAGCCCACAACCTCACTTTCGCCAACTTCTAGTAGGTCAGTCCCTTGACCCTCCAGTTAAAACTCATCCAGATAGTCAGTGATGGTGGACATATTTTTCATTCCCTTGCAGACAAATGCAGGCATCGCCTTGTTGACCATAACCCAAATTCTACCCAGTTAGAACTGTAATGGGTTCGGTGGGTTGAGGTCCCCATCGTTTGGGGGAATTGGAAATGAGTCTCTTATTATACTAACAGCAATCTGAAGCCCCGCCATTCATTCTGTCACCATTTTATTTGCATGCATAAGCAAATAAAGCAGATTCGCATATTTTCCTGCTCATTTGACACAATTTTATTCAAGGCTTTTGCATAATTTATTCCAAGCTATATAAACTGGGAACATTTGCATGTGTTTTCCCTTTATCTTGCATAAGTTATTCTGCAGTTTTTGCCTGTTTGCATGCTGGTTCCCCTCCTGTTTTGGGAGATTTCAGATTGACATTCAAGCCTCTTATGGCTGCCATGAGATCTAGAAGCTGGCCAAGAGCAAGCGAGCAATCTGGTATAGGAAGACTTATTTACTTACTTACTTACTTAGGTGAGCCCTCGTTGTCTGAGTAAGATTGTGGCCAGATCGTGCACAGATCTGGCCACAGTGGTCCACGCTCTTGTTACATCCCGAATAGACTACTGCAATGCACTCTATGTGGGGTTGCCTTTGAAGACTGTTCGGAAACTTCAATTAGTCCAGCGGGCGGCAGCCAGATTACTCACCGGAGCGTGAGTAATCTGTCATGTCAGCTCCACTGGCTGCCGATCCAGTTCCGAGCACAATTCAAAGTGCTGGTTTTGACCTACAAAACCCTATATGGCTCCGGCCCAGCGTACCTGTCCAAACGCATCTCCTTCTACGTCCCACCTCGGAGTTTAAGATCTTCTGGGGGGGGGGGGCTGCTCTCGGCCCCACCTCTATCACAAGTGAGATTGATAGGGACGAGGAGCAGGGCCTTCTCGGTGGTGGCCCCTCGCCTGTGGAATTCACTTCCCGGGGAAATCAGATCATCGACATCCCTCTTCTCTTTCAGAAGGAAACTAAAAACATGGATGTGGGACCAGGCCTTTGGGTAATCTGACAGATAGACAAAGGACAATGACGACTAGAATTGATAAGATTTGACAATGTGGAATGGATTCTGAGCTGGTGAACGTTGAACATTAGATTGGTTTTATTGATTGTGATATATAACTTGTTTGTTTTAATTGTTTATAATTGCTATTGATACATGTTTTATCTTGTTGTTGTTGGCATCGAATTGTGCCTTTTGTAAGCCGCCCTGAGTCCCCCCTCGGGGGTTGAGAAGGGCGGGGAAGAAATGCGCGAAATAAAATAAATAATAATAAATTGTCCTCCAAGTTCAGAGTCCCGGTGATGGGTACGTAGGTGACTGTGGAGTCCTATTCTTGACCTGCATGTTCTCCTGAAGTGAGGGCATCGGTTTCCAGACAGAAGTCGGTCCTGGTCAGGGTTGGCTTGACACGCCTTCCTCTTGGCACTTTCTCCCTTTCGCTCTCAGTTTGTGACTCTTCAAATTCTACAGCACTGCTGGTTACAGCTGACCTCCACCTGGAGCGCTCAAGGGCCAGGGCTTCCCATTCTCAGTGTCTATGCCACAGTTTTTAAGATTGGCTTTGAGCCCATCTTTCAATCTCTTTTCCTGTCCTCCAACATTCCGTTTCCCATTCTTGAGTTTGGAGTAGAGCAACTGCTTTGGGAGACGGTGGTTGGGCATTCGGACAACGTGGCTGGTCCAGCGGAGTTGATGGCAGAGGACCATCGTTTCAATGCTGGTGGTCTTTGCTTCTTCTTCCAGCACGCTGACATTTCCCTGCCTGTCTTCCCAAGAGATTTGTAGGATTTGTCGGAGTTGACGGTGATGAAATTGCTCCCGGAGTCACTTATGATGTCTGTAGACAGTCCACGTTTCGCAGGCGTAGAGCAGAGTTTGGAGGACCATAGCTTTATAAACAAGCTCCCTACGGATGTCCCATTCCTCAAACACTCCCTGCTTCATTTGGAAGAATACTGCACTTGCAGAGCTCAGGCAGTGTTGTATTTCAATGTCAATGTTTATAAGAAGAATCTTACAAAGGCAACAATTCAGTGCCATCGATATATGTCTGTAGACAGTCCACGTTTCACAGGCGTATAGCAGGCTTGGGAGGACAATAGCTTTATAAACAAGCTCCCTAGGGATGTCCCGGTCCTCAAACACTCCCTGCTTCATTCGAAAGAATACTGCACTTGCAGAGCTCAGGCGGTGTTTTATTTCAGTGTCAATGTTTATAGGAAGAATCTTAAAAAGGCAACAATTCAATGCCATCTATATAAATAAATATGTAATGTTCGTTTGTGGGATTAACATAACTCAAAAACCACTGGACAAATAGACACCAAATTTGGACACAATACACCTATCAGGCCAACAAGTGACCATCACTCATAAAAACACTGAAAAACACAGTGGAAGAGACTTAAAAGCCAAAAAATAAAAATACATTACAACGCATGGAGGGGTTGAAATTTTTGGGGTGGGGTGGGGTGAAAATTTCGCGGGGGGGTTGAAACCTGCCTCCTAGCTCACGCTGAAGCAAAGAGCACAGCAGGGGGCAGAGCATCCTTCAATAGCCTGCAGCTCCGCCCTTGTCAACCACCTCCACCAAGTCTGGCCTCCTTAATGAGAGCATTCAACATCCCCCCCCCCCCAACTTGGTTGCTTCACTACTGTTCTGTCGCGCGCTGGGCCTGTAAATAATTGTCTTTAGAACAGGATGTGCAACCTTTGCCCAGTGGGAAGCCAGGGGGCCTAAAGAGAAGTTCTCAGAGGTTTCCACCACAAACAGTCTTTAGATGGCTTGAGAAGTACAACAAAGTCTTTTATTAATGAACAATCAAACAGAAACTTCTCTTGTCTTCAGTAAAGTTAAGCAAATGATTCCAAGCTTTTAGGCAACTGGTGAATTCCTAATCTTGCCCACGAAGGACAGGCAACTGTCTTCAATAACTTCTTCTTTAAAGGAAAACCCCCTTTTTAACTTCTCCCAGGCTGACTGTAATCTAACCCTTACTGATACCGGGTCGAACAGCGTCTCGAACGCCGAGTGGACCTACCAGCAAGGCAGTAGATGTTCTCCAGCTGGAGTTCTTTGGTCTTTAGGGCTGTTTTCCTGAAAATTCTTTAGAGATTCTTGAAACTTCCTGGAAATTCTTAAAGGTTGAAGCTTTTGTACAGGGGAAGCTTGCACACATCCTATACATAAGCTTACCTTGCTGAGACTAACTAAAAATTGCCCCCTTCCCTTCCCAATTGCCCTAAGCAAGGGGCGGGACCAAAACTTAACAATGATGGACAGGTGACTTGCCCTATGACTGCAACCAAAGAAGCCACCTATCTGCAGAGTCCCTGAAACCTAGGACTGCAAGCAAACATTTAATACAAAGCAAATAAAGTTGGAGCTCCTGGTACAGCTGTACCAGAACAACTACATCAGCTATTGCTGCAAGTAATGACAGTGTGAATAAATTGCTAATATTTGCTTGAGATAGTGCTTGCAGTTCTGGAGGGACTCTTGATTTTTTGCATCTCATAGACTTAGCATGGGGATTTGGTTAACCAGTTAAAATTCATGAGTAAACCAGTTTTTTAAAAATCTGAAACATTTCGGGGGGGGGGTTGAACCCCTAACACCCCCCCCCCCCCCGCTACAGGCCTGCACACACACACAGAACACATATACACAGACTGGGCTGCAGCAACACTTGGCAGGGGGCGGCTAGTATATTAATATAGGAAGAATAAGTGCTCATATTTTGTTTTTTAAAGGGCATTCTTGAAGAATCTTAACACATACTTGACTCTGCTTATAACTGCAATTCAAAAATTAAGTCTTCACTGTCCCATTCCCATTTTGTGTTATCTATATTTTAAAAATCCTAAATATACTCGTTCCTGTCGGTACTAAGGGAAGGAATCATCTGATTTCTCAGGTCAGCTAATATTGGTGAAGGGAAGAGTGCACTTCATGGCTACCTTGATTTATTTATTTACCTCATTTATGTCTCGCTCTTCTCAACCCCGAAGGGGTCTCGGGGCAGCCTTACAAAGGCATGGATACTCAGGAGGAGAGGAACCGTGCGCGAAATACAGTCAGTCTTCTGTATCCATGGGTTCTCCATCTATGGGTTCAACCAATTATCACTTGAAAATATTCGAGGGGGAATTCCAAAAAGGCAGATCAAGAAACTGGGCTTCAGTGGAAATGTTTTGGCCAATAGTTGCTTATTTTCTCCCTGCTTCCTAGAACCGAGGGAAAGGAGGTGCCGTCAGCAAGCTCATGCAGAGCATGGCCGCCGAGGAGGATTTTGAGCCAAACCAAGATAGCAGCTTCTCCGAGGACGAAAACATGCCATTGAATGTGCTTCTGGAGCGGCCGCTGACTCCAGGTGAGGGCTAGCAGATTGCCTCCATGGATCCTCATGTCTTTCTTGCGCCTCTCTCCAAAAATGGCAGAAGAGGGAAATGTATGTGCCCATGTACGAGGGGTATTTTTTAAGTAAGGTCCGTTTGAACATAAGTACACAACGAAAGTTTATTTCAAAAAAGTAAATTTATTTACAGAAAGTACATACTTCACTCTATTTTTCGACATAGTTGCCAAGTTTGTTCAAAGACTCATCATACCTCTGAACCAATTTTAAAATACCTGTTGGGGTTCGGCCTGAGTTTGAACTTGAACCTAATTCTCTGTTTGTTCCTCCTGATGCTAATGAAAATATATTTACTGATGCTAATGAAAATGTACTTCTTGATGTCAATGCTCCTGAAATTAGTGAGGAAGAAACTTCTGTAGATTTGGAAAATGAAAGTACCAGTGTTCATGAGAATGTTTCAGAGGGAAGCCATGACCTTTCACTCCCTTCTGCACCTGGGAACCTTAATGAGAATAGAAGGGGCCAGATCTGGCAAGACAGGAGTCAATCACTCAGCTTGCGAAGGTCTTCCAGATTAAAAGAAATACAAACAACGGCTTCAAAGCAGGGAGGCGTTTCACGAAACCAATTCCTCGGCTGGGCTGACTTTCTCAGTTCAGGCATCGTTTTAGATTGATGAAGACCTTGGCAGTTCTCCCGGTTTCCCTGGCCATCGTCTTGAAAGATTTCTAGGACACCAAGTACGGTTAGTGGATTGCTAACAGGTTCCAGTATTTTACAGTGTGGCTTTGGGTTTTGATCTTGTTCATGGAAATTCATGTTTGCTGATTTTGCTGTGGCTTTTGACTTTGCATTTTTCCTTTATTTTGTAACCATTTTTCTTCAATAAGAAAGGATTGTTTTTTCACAGTCAAGTGTGGTGGATAGTTATCTTAGGGCCTCGTTTCCTGCTCTGGATTGCAGCAATACCCTCTTCATAAAAACTTGCCACCTGCTCCGATAACCAAGAGTCCACTGTAATCAAAGAAGGGTGACCAAAGCGGTCCTCATCATGGACGTTGTCACGGCCATCTTTGAATTGTCGTACCCACTTACGCACTTTGCTTTCACTCATAACAGTCTCACCGTACACTTCACAAATCTGTCGATGGATTTCTGGAGCAGGCAGGTTCCTTGCTGACAAAAACCGTATCACTGAGCGAACCTCACATGTGGAGGGTGAGTTGATAGTCTTAAACATTTTTAAAGCACAGAACAGAACCGTACAGGTTAGCTACAGAGCGGAAACTGAGCACAGTTGTTCCCGAGGCATGCCAGTACACGACGCACGCACTCGTTGCGGTATGCGTACGAACTACTAGTATCTACAACAAAACGGACCTTACTTAAAAAATACCCCTCGTTTTGTCTCCTCCCAAAAGTGTTGCTAATACTTGACTGCCTTCCTTCTGCTCCTCCCCGACTCCACAGCCCCTCGTTCTTGCATCATCGACAAAGACGAGTTGAAGGATGGCCTGAGAGTCCTGATCCCCATGGACGACAAGCTGCTCTACGCTGGCCACGTGAAGACCGTCCACTCTCCCGACATGTAAGTCAGAGGGACATGCAGCCTGGGTTGGAAGGGAGGGGAGAACAGCCAGTGCGTGGAATCAATATATCCAAACCTCCAGTACACATCCTGTCTATATAAATAAAAATGTAATGTTCGTTTGTGGGGTTAACATAACTCAAAAACCACTGGGGGAAGTGACACCAAATTTGGACGCAAGACACCTCTCAGGCCAACAAGTGACCATCACTCATAAAAACACTGAAAAATACAGCAGAAGATACTTAAAAAGCCAAAAACAAAAATTACATGACAACGCATGCGCAAAACCACATATGTACACAAAGACATATATACACATATAGAAATATATACACACATATATGTACACACAAAACACATACACATAAAGGGGGAAGGAAGGAGGGAGAGAAAGAAGAGAGAAGAAGAAGAAAGAAAGGAGAGAAGAAAAGGAGAAAGGAAAAGTGAAAGAGGGAAGGAGAGAAAGAATGAAAGAGAGAAAGAGGGAGGAAGGAAGGAAAAAGAGCAAAGGAAGAAAAACAGGTAGAGAAAGAAGAGAAGAAGAGGAGGAAAAGGAAGGAAGGAGAGAAGGAAAGAAAAAAGGAGAGGAAGGAAGAGAAGAGAAAGGAGAGAGAGAAAAGGGAGGGAAGGTTGGCCACAGCAACACGTGGCAGGTACAGCTAGTTTTATATAAATAAAAATGTAATGTTTGTTTGTGGGATTAACATAACTCAAAAACCACATGACAAATTGACATGAAATTTGGACACTATACCCCTAACAGATCAATGAGTGACCATCACTCACAAAAACCCCCAAAAACAGCAGAAAGGACTTAAAACCCTACAAAGCTAAATGACTACACAGAGCATGGAAAATGCACACTCTGTGAGTTAGGAAAGGCTGTCCAGGAAGGCACAATCAAAGAACTCACAACAGATGGCCATCCATTTTTTTTTACTTTATAACAACCCTAAAATATCTACAATAATAATATCTATATATCTATCATAATAATATCTATCAGTCTTTAATAATAATATCTATGTCTGTAATAATAATATATATAGGTCTATTATAATAATATCCATATGTCTATAATAATATCCATACGTCTAAATAATTATAATAATACCTATATAATATCTTTGAATTGGGTTATATGGCAGTGTGGACTCAGGTAACCCAGGGCTCTTCCACACATCCATAGAACCCTTTGGCCTCAAGGAGACTGAAATGGACCTATATTAGGTTGACACTGTGCCACTTCAGTTGTGTATTGATAGCATAGAAACCAGGTTTTCCTCTTTTCTTTCTTTCCCATTTCTCCACAATGCGCCACAGCAACGCATGGCCAGGTACAGCTAGTCTATATAAATAAAAATGTAATGTTCGTTTGTGGGATTAACATAACTCAAAAACCACTGGAATTGACACCAAATTTGGACACAAGACACCTATCAGGCCAACAAGTGACCATCACTCATAAAAACACTGAAAACACAGCAGAAGAGACTTAAAAAGCCAAAAAAACAAAAAAAAAGGATACTAGAGCACATGCACAAAAATAGCTCCCCCGGCAAACAAAACACACAATAGCATATCCACCCTCTCTTCCAGACTACAGCTCCCAGCATCCCCTAGACCAGGCTTTTTAGGAGAGGAGGATGATCCAAATGCACTGCTTCCAAGCTGCAAACTTTCTTCTCCTTGGATTTCTTTGAGAGCATCCCAATCCCTGCATATTTCCAATTTCCTATTCCTGGACTGCAACTCCCAGCAATCTCCCAGATGATATATAGATTAGATAGGGATAAATAGGTAGGTAGATATAGATCAATCAGGAGGACTGCTGGGAGTTCTAGTCCAAGAATAGGTAGAAAAGGAAGAAAGGAGAGAAAGAAAAAGGTTGGGGAAGGAAGGAAAGAGGAGAGAAGGAAGGAAGAAGAATGAAAGAAAAAAAGGGAAGGGAGGAAGGAGAGAAAGAAAGAAAGAAAAAAGGGGAAGGAGGGAAAGAGAAGGAGGAAGGAAGGAGAGAAAGAAGAAAAAAGGAAGAAGGGAAAAGAGGAAGAAGGAGGAAGGGAGAAGAAAAAGGGGAGGGAAGGAAGGAAAGAAGGAGAGGAAGGAAGAAGAAGGAAAGAGGGGAGGAAGGAAAGAAAAGGAGAAGCAAGAAGAGAAAAAAAGGGGGAAGGGAGGAAAGAGATAGAGAAGGAAGAAGAAAGGAAAGAGGGAAGAAAGAAGGAAAAGGAAGGAAGAAGGAAGCAAAGGAAGGAAGGAAAAAGAAAAAGGAAAGGGAAGAAAGGAGGAAGGAAGGAAGAAGGAGAGAAAGAAAAAGGAAGGGGAAGGAGAAGGAGAGAAGGAAAGAAGGGAGAAGAAGAAAGGAAGGAAGGAAAGAGGAAAGGAAGAGAGAAGAAAGAAAAAGGAAGAAAGGAAGGAAGAAGGAGAAGGAGGAGGAAGGAAGGAAGGAAGGGAGAAGAAAAAAGGAAAGGAAGGAAGGAAAGAGGGAGGTAAGGAAGGAGAGAAAGAAAGAAGAGAAAGAGGGAGGGAAGGTTGGCCACAGCAACATGTGGCGGGTACAGCTAGTGTAAAATAAACCAGGTGTAGTTCACATTTGATCAACCCACACACTGCTTTGTCAGAGAAAGAAAATATGCTACGCAAGTAAACAGGTAGTTTACTCTTCTTAATTCAGGACAACATATGTACAATGTGGTCAGTTGCATCAACTCACTAAATGTCCTTTTATGAGAGATTTAAAATAATCTTTCTTTGTCCATGTGGAGATTCTTAATCTATTTTTTAATTACTAAGCAAGGCATCACTTCTGCTTTTCAGATCCAAATGAGCCATCTTGATACGACTCCTTGCTTGTCGTTCAAGGGTTGGAGGTTTGTGGCAGTTGTCATTTTGCACCAAAGACAAAGAGATGTGCGCAATGTGAGGAGATTTGTGTGCTAGATAAATAAGAAACACCGAAAGGCCCCAAATGTCTCTCTGATGGTTTCCCTTTGTTTTGTTTTTTGCTTTACACCTCGATGTCTCTCAGCCTCCTCCTTCTTCTCTTCCTACTTCACTGTTGCGTTTTGGGTCTGTACGTTTCAGATACCGAGTGGTGGTGGAAGGAGAGCGAGGGAATCGGCCCCATATTTATTGCTTGGAACAGCTGCTGCAAGAGGCGGTAAGTCCCCCATTCTCCAGGAAGGGTAAGATGGGCTCCTGCTTTTACTTCTGAGGAAGGATAGTGGAGAGAATAGACCTGGGCAAAAACATGGGGCCAATGGTACTTCTAGTCTTGTCGAAGGAAGAAGGAGATTCCACCTGAACATGAGGAAGAACTTCCTGACTGTGAGAGCTGTTCACTAGTGGAACTCTCTGCCCCAGACTGTGGTGGAGGCTCCTTCTTTGGAGGCTTTGAAACAGATGCTGGATGGCCATCTGTCAGGGGTGCTTATTATTATTATTATTATTATTATTATTATTATTATTATTATTATTAAGGCAGGGCAGGACAGGGCAAGATAATAATAATAATAATAATAATAATAGTAACAACAACAACAACAACACTTTTTTATATTCTGTCCTTCTCCCTGAGGGGACTCAGAATGGATTACAGTATATACACAGACACAGGCAAACATTCAGTACCTTGTTACAAATTTCTGGTTCAGAAATTATTATTATTATTTTATTGACACAAAAGCACCGTATGTCACAGCAAACGAGATCTCTGTGCTGGATTTCGCATCACAAAATCACAAGTCGAACACTTCCCGAGCGTCGATCCAAGTCATGAGGCCTTTTGCAGTTGACAGATCGTGATTTTGTCGATGTTTATTGTTTCCAAATGCTGGCTGAGATCTTTTGGCACGGCACCCAGTGCGCCAGTGACCACTGGGACCACCTGTAGTGGTTGATGCCAGAGCCTTTGCCGTTCGATTTTGAGGTCTTGATAGCGACTGAGCTTTTCCTGTTTTTTTTTTCCTGAACGTGACTGTCACCTGGAATGGTGACTTCAATCATCCAAACTTTTTTCTTTCCCACAATCGTGATGTCTGGTGTGTTGTGTTCCAAAACTTTGTCAGTCTGGATTCGAAAGTCCCACAGTATTTTTGCATGTTCATTTCCTACAACCTTTGCAGGTTTATGATCCCATCAATTCTTTACTGCTAGCAGGTGGCCCTTGTGACATAAGTTCCAGTGAACCATCTGGAACACAGAGTTGTGCCTCCGTTTGTAGTCTGCCTGTACGATTTTCTTGCAACACCTGAGGAGATGATCTATGGTTTCATCCGCTTCCTTGCACAGTCTGTATTTTAGGGGCATCTGCTGATTTTTCAATCCTGGCCTTAACGGCCTTGGTTCTGATGGCTTGCTCCTGGGCTGCAAGAATCAGGCCTTCTTCTGTCTGCTTCTTCAGGGTTCCATTCATGAGCCATCACCAGGTCTTCTCCTTCTCAACTTTTCCTTCAGTCTTCTCAAGGAACTATTATTATTATTAGTAGTAGTAGTATTAGTATTATTAGTATTTCTTTCCCTGCCCTGCCGTAAAGTCAAAGGACTGAATGTGAGCCCTTCTGATGGCATGTGGACCCAAACATCAACAATCCACCCTCTCCACACCTTCTGTCTCTATGTCAGATGGATGGATTTTGCCAATCTCCTACAGACAATTGTGGTTTCCATGGAGGGATGGAGGGAGGGTCAGAACCGCCAAACTCATGAAGAGAAGATGTACTCACTGGGAGAGGTCATCCGGAGTTTTGGAGTTAGGTGCCATCTCTACGCAGATGACACACAACTCTACTACTCTTTTCCACCTAATTCCAAGGAGACCTCTCGGGTGCTAGACGAGTGCCTGTGTCCATCTGGATGAGGAAGAACAAGCTGAAGATCAATCCCGACAAGACTGAGGTCCTCCTGGTCGATCGTAAACCTGACCGGGGTATAGGGTGGCAACCTGTGCTGGACGGGGTTACACTCCCCCTGAAGTCACAGGTCCGCAGTTTGGGAGTCCTCTTGGATTCATCGCTTACGCTTGAGGCTCAGGCGTCGGCGGTGTCCGGGAGGGCTTTTGCACAATTGAGACTCGTGCGCCAACTGCGACTGTACCTCACGAAGGCTGATCTGGCCGGGGTGGTCCATGCCTTGGTCACCTCTAGATTGGACTACTGTAATGCGCTCTACGTGGGGCTGCCCTTGAAAACGGCTCGGAAATTCCAACTGGTCCAACAGGCAGCGGCCAGGATGTTAACTGGGGCCCCTTACAGAGAGAGGTCAACCCTCCTGTTCAAGGAGCTCCACTGGCTGCCGTTTATTTTCCGAAGCCCAATTTAAGGTGCAGGTGCTTACCTACAAAGCCCTGAATGGTTTGGGACCACCCTACCTGCGTGACCCCATCTCCGTCTATGAACCCACACGTTCATTACGCTCATCTGGGGAGGCCCTGCTCGTGATTCCGCCTGCGTTGCAGGCGCATTTGGTGGGGACGCGAGACAGGGCCTTTTCTGTGGTGGCCCCCCGACTCTGGAACACCCTCCCAAAGATCTTAGACAGGCCCCTACATTGGCAGTCTTTAGAAAGAACTTGAAGACCTGGCTGTTCCGATGTGCCTTTTCAGAATAGGAAAACTCCAATAACAAGTCCCAGAAGCACTTTATTAGAACTAAGATTGCTGGCACACTGCACTTACCCCATAATCCTTACATATCACCTGTCACATCAGCACTTTTAATCCTGTACCTATTATTCTGGCCCGGCCCAGTTTTATAGTGTCTTGGTGTATTGTTTATTGCTTATTGTTTAATATTGCTTTAACTGTATTTAATTTTGCTTTAGGTGTTGTATTGTTATCTTGTGTGTTGAGGCCTTGGCCTTTGTAAGCCGCATCGAGTCCTTCGGGAGATGCTAGCGGGGTACAAATAAAGTTAATAATAATAATAATAATAAACCAGCGACTAACATTTCCTTCCATGCAGATCATTGACGTGAAACCCCCTTCGGTACGATTCCTGCCTGAAGGCACAAGGATCGCTGCCTACTGGAGTCAACAGTACCGCTGCCTCTATCCGGGAACGGTTGTCCGAGGTGAGACCCTTTCCTAAGCCGAGAGTTGTGTTGGAAGTCACGGGAATAGGCCATGTTCTGAGCATACCTGGCTGTGTAGCCCAAAATGAGTGGAAGCTCCAATATATATGGTCAGAAATATAAAAAATTAACTAGTTATTTTTAATTACAAAAATATAAGTCAAGCACTGAAAGGGTTAAATGGATGCAATGACTCAGTGAAAGCTGCATTTCAAAATAAGTAGGTGTGCCTGTATGCCTCAGTGTTAGTTGCCCTCAGTATGAAGAGGCTTCAGTCTGAGAGAGGCCTCAGTGTGAGGTAAACCTCAGTGTGAAGTAGGCCTCAGTGCTAAGAAGTCTTTGGTGAGATATGCCCCAGGTTGAAGGCCGTGTGTGTAAAGCTCCAGTGTGAAGGCTGCTCTGTGTAAAAGGCTATTGTCTGAAGCTCCTTTGTAAGTCTAGTGTGAGAAGAGGCTCTGTGAGAGTGAAGCTTTATATCTACTTGAGAAAGAAGCCCAGCATGGAAGCAAAGTAGGAAGTATAAAGAACTTTATTTGTATTGTCGAAGGCTTTCATGGCCAGAATCACTGGGTTGTTTGTAAGTATCTCGGGCTGTGTGGCCATGTTGAGAAAGAAGCCCAGCATGGAAGCAAACTAGGAAGTATAAAGAACTTTATTTGTATTGTCGAAGGCTTTCATGGCCAGAATCACTGGGTTGTTTGTAAGTATCTCGGGCTGTGTGGCCATGTTGAGAAAGAAGCCCAGCATGGAAGCAAACTAGGAAGTATAAAGAACTTTATTTGTATTGTCGAAGGCTTTCATGGCCAGAATCACTGGGTTGTTTGTAAGTATCTTGGGCTGTGTGGCCATGTTGGGAAAGAAGCCCAGCATGGAAGCAAAGTAGGAAGTATAAAGAAATTTATTTGTATTGTCGAAGGCTTTCATGGCCAGAATCACTGGGTTGTTTGTAAGTATCTTGGGCTGTGTGGCCATGTTGGGAAAGAAGCCCAGCATGGAAGCAAAGTAGGAAGTATAAAGAAATTTATTTGTATTGTCGAAGGCTTTCATGGCCAGAATCACTGGGTTGTTTGTAAGTATCTCGGGCTGTGTGGCCATGTTGAGAAAGAAGCCCAGCATGGAAGCAAAGTAGGAAGTATAAAGAACTTTATTTGTATTGTCGAAGGCTTTCATGGCCAGAATCACTGGGTTGTTTGTAAGTATCTTGGGCTGTGTGGCCATGTTGGGAAAGAAGCCCAGCATGGAAGCAAAGTAGGAAGTATAAAGAAATTTATTTGTATTGTCGAAGGCTTTCATGGCCAGAATCACTGGGTTGTTTGTAAGTATCTCGGGCTGTGTGGCCATGTTGAGAAAGAAGCCCAGCATGGAAGCAAACTAGGAAGTATAAAGAACTTTATTTGTATTGTCGAAGGCTTTCATGGCCAGAATCACTGGGTTGTTGTCCGTTTCTCAGGCTGTATGCCCATGTTCTAGAAGCATTCACTCCTGACGCCGTTGTAGGTTTTTTCGGGCTATATGGCCATGGTCTAGAGGCATTCTCTCCTGCCGTTTTGCCTGCATCTATGGCAAGCATCCTCAGAGGTAGTGAGGTCTGTTGGAACTAGGTAAAAGGGTTTATATATCTGTGGAATGACCAGGGTGGGACAAAGGACTCTTGTCTGCTGGAGCTAGGTGTGAATGTTTCAACGGACCACCTTGATTAGCATTTGATGGCCTGGCAGTGCCTGGGGCAATCTTTTGTTGAGAGGGAAAGTGTTCTTGCCATACATCAAGGGAACCACTGACCGCAGAGGGAAGCTGATGAGGAAACATCAGCTGTCGCTTCACTGTCCGTTTGTGACACTGATGAAGTACTTCCTCATTCTTTGCATACTTCCTGGAGATTTTTATGGTCTTGTAAATCAGTTAAATTAGCCTCCCCACATAAGTGGTACCTAAATTTCCTACTTGACAGATGCAACTGTCTTGGGCTGCAAAGGTCGACAACCAGCTACACAATTTTGGTTGGGAGCTCACTCTGACCCGAGCTGGCTTCGAACTCATGACCTTCCGGTCAGTAGTGATCTTAATGCAGCTGCACCACAGTCCCGACGCAGAACACTTATCATCCCAAGCATTTTGGAAAAGGGATGCTCAGTGTGTATTTATTATCTACCATAACTGACAAAGTATGTGTGTAGGTGTTCATTCCCTCTCTTCTGATTCCTTTTCTTCTTCCTTTAGGGGCTCATGATCAGGAGGAGGATGGAGACTTGATCACCGTAGAGTTTGACGATGGCGACACTGGACGGATCCCCTTATCTCACATCCGGTTACTTCCAACGGATTACAAAATCCAGTGTGAGTCCTGCATTTGTAGAACTTTAGAGCCAGAAGGTGCTTCAGGGGTCCATCTCCGTACGATGTGCAACTGAAGCACCCCTGAAAAATGCCCAGCTTCTGTTTAAAGCCTCCAAAGAAAGAATCCACCACTCTCCAAGGCAATCTAATCCATTGTCAGACAGTTCTTCCCAGTGGTACCTCTTTTTTTGTAATTCGAATCCATTCTAATATAATGCTGCAGCATTAAGTTCTTCTCACTTCTTCCAGGTTCTTCCTTTTTTTTCTGGAATTAGCTGGCTGCATAGAAGGATCGATAGATCTTATGTCCCAAGGGAAGGCCTTGCGCACAGGTTGCGATGGCTCAGGGACTTCTACAATGACACCCACTTCGAGTAGCATTGACAGTCATTCTCACACTTGGGTGCTCAAAATATTTTGGACTTCCCTTCCAAGAGTCTCATTCAGCATGGTCAGTGGCCAAAGATTCTGGATTCTGAAGTCCAAAACATCTTAACGTCCAGAGCTTTAGAATAGTTGGCCTACAACTCTGCCCATATTCAGGTTGCACTTAAAGAAACTAGGCATTATGAATAGGAGCCACAACAGAGCTCACTGATACGTGTTTTGCTTGCAGTGTGGATTTCTGCAGGTAATCCTATTTTAAGTCACTCTCAGGTGGATTTGGGGGGCAGTAATGTGTATATTTGGGTGTGAGAGACATAGAAGGGCAAGAACCAAGGAGCACAATGCCAACAATGGTTCGTGACTGTTGCAGGTGCCGAGCCTTCTCCGGCCCTCTTGGTACCCAGCATGAAACGCCGCAGCCGCAAATCCAGTAAGGATACTGGAGAAGGAAAAGAAGGAACTGGGATGGAATCGGAGGAGATCGCTTCAAAAGGCAAAGGACGTGGGAGAAAAACAAGCAGCAAGGAGAAAGCTGGTATAAACACCACAGCCTGTCTTAGTGGGTTGGAAACATTGTGCTTCATATTGTGCTTCAGTAGTTATATTTATATTTTTAATGTACCAAACATACCAAGTTTGTATGAAAATGTGACTCTATTTCCTGTGCTGGTCAATGACCGAAATAAATGGTTTGATTGAAAGCTGGTATAAACACCACAGCCTGTCTTAGTGGGTTGGGAACATTGTGAGAAGACACTAGGAAAGCTGCCTTCTCCCAGACCAGACTCTGTCCCTGTAGCCCAGAGTGGAATGAAGGAATGTTTGATTGCATCTTAATGTGTGGTTTTGTTGAGATTTAACTTCACAATTCAGCAGCAGATCAGTTGCACAACTTCAGTGCTTTCCAGTAGCTTCTTCCTGCACAGTATTTTCAGTCAATTTCTCCCACAGCCTGCAGTCACTCTGGAACCTTTTACAGACATTTGAGCACATGCCCGGCCGTTGTCAGTTTTAGCATTGTCTTTCCCCCAGTCTAGATGACATTACAAACTTACCACAGTACATAGTTATATCTCGTCTTAGCAGACAGGTTCTTTTAATCAATTACATAGAGACTTCGACGAACAACATCACAGCACAAGGAGAGAGACTACACTGTATATGACTTCCTTATATACAATTCTTTACAATTACACATATCAATCTCTGATTGGTTCCCAACTCATTAACTTAATTCAGACCCAGGATTGCATCATTCTTAATCACCTGGACCAGGCCAGAACACATTCCCCAAATGATTCCCTATATACAGTTAATGCATGACTCAGCATTTCCAATAGAAGCCCATTAGCAGTGCATGACTCAGCCATATTACATTACATACAATACATTGTAAAACCTGACAATTTGTAGAACAGTGTTGTTGTTGTTGTTGTTGTTGTTGTTGTTGTTGTTATCTGCAAATGGTGTTTTATTTCTTTATTCCATTGATGTGCTTTTTTGTTGTTTCCCAGAAGAAAGTGTCCTAACAGAACCAACAAACCAGGAGGAAATACCCACAAGCCCTTCCCATCTGCCCGAAAAGACTGTTTGCAAGCAGACTGTGAAAAGCTCAAAGAAAACGCCGCCGGTCCCTGCCAGATCCTCCCCAGACCCCACAGAAGAAAAACACCAAAGTAAAGGCAGTAAGATGAAGATTTCAGCCAAAATCCACAGTCCATCGCAGTCCTCTTTCCAGTCGCCAGTGTTCAGCAGCGTTCGTAGCAATGAGCAATACGCTGAGCTCTCAGGCATCTTGGGAGCCTTCGGTTCTTCTGATGCCTCCTCCCACAAAGTCAAGTCAAAGAAAGGGAAGTCCTCCGAGGACTCCCAGGAGTTTGGGTCAACGGCCAAAGCCCAGAGGAAGATCCCGGACAGTGAGGTCCTGATCAAGCTAGACCACGAGGGGGTCATGTCTCCCAAGAGCAAGAAGACGAAAGAGGCCATGCGGATGCTGGGAAGCTCAAACCTGGCCGGCAGGAGGGAGGCCAAGAACATCCTGGGAATGAGCTACAATTCCATCGCAAGTGCCGACGCCAAGCAGAAATCTTCGAGGAACAAAGCATCCGGCGGAGAAGCTTCTGCCTCTAAGTTTTCCAGCAAGTTTGGAGGTGGCTCTGGAGAGACTCCTTCGTCTTCCAAAGATCATGAGGACAAAGACCAAGCAGAGCCGGCAGGAGACGAGTCCGAAAGCAACAGTAGCGGCAGCAGTTCGGAGTCAGAAGGGGAAGAAGATGAAGCAGAGAAGAACGGCGGCGCCGCCCAAGATGGCAGCTCCGCCAGCTCGCGGGCCTCCACGCCCATGTCTTCCACAAACTCCTCCACTTCCTCCTCCTCCAGCAGTAGCAGCTCCTCTTCCTCCTCCTCTTCTTCCTCCTCCTCCACTTCCTCTTCCTCCTCCAGCTCCAGCTCTTCCTCCTCCTCCTCCTCTTCCTCCACCACGGATGAAGACTCCTCCTGCAGCTCGGACGAGGAGACCTCTGAATCCCAGCCCGGTGTTTCTTCTGCCCAGCAGGCCTTGCCTTCCAAGCCAGCCAAGCAGGCCGGGAAATCTCGCTCAGCTTCCCACCCTCCGGACTCTAAGCAGCAGCAGCAGCCGCCACAACCATCGCCACCACAAGCACAACAGCAGCAGCAGCAGCAGGCGGCACAGAAGCAGCCGAGCGGGAACAAGAACCGGCCCAAGAAGCGCGAGGGGATCCACTTGCCCACCACCAAGGAGCTTGCCAAGCGCCAGCGGCTGCCTTCCGTGGAGAACAGGCCCAAAATTGCTGCCTTCCTACCTGCACGACAGCTTTGGAAGTGGTTTGGGAAGCCTACCCAGGTGAGGGAGGATTGGACTGTGCAAGAGTGGGTTAATGGCAGTTGCAGTCAAGGCATAACTTTAACATTTATTTATATCGCACCTTTCTCCTGTGACAGGGCCCAAGACTCCTCACCTCACATTAAGTGCAAAATATTTATTTATTTATTTATTTATTTGCGACATTTATATGCCGTCCTTCTCACCCCGAAGGGGACTCAGAGCGGCTTACGAGTAATATGTAAATACAATATATTATATTATTACCAATATGTTATATTATATATTCCAATATTATATACTCCAATATATTATATTAAATACAATATATTATATTATGAGCTCCCTCTATCAGCTCCAGCTCCTCATGCGGGGACATGAGAGAAGCCTCTCACAAGGATGATAAAAATATCAAATCATCCCTGGGCAACGACCTTGCAGACGGCCAATTCTCTCACACCAGGAGTCACTCCTGACACGACACACACACACACACACACACACACACACACACACACACACATATATATATATATATATATATATATATATATATATATATATAATTACCATAGCACAATATTAGTATTATATATTACTATATTGTACTATACTATTATACTGTAATATTATTAATAATATTACATGTAATATAAAATATATAATTATAATATTATATTATTGGTATTAGTATTATACTGTATTACATTATAATATTATCAATATTATATGTATATATACAATATATTATATTACATTATATAATATTATATTATATTACTAGCTGTCCCCTGCCATGTGTTGCTGTGGCCCAGCCTTTGTATACGTGTTTTGCGTTTGTATATGTGTGTGTGGTTCTGCACACGTGTTCTAATATATATATATATATATGGCTTTTCAAGTCTCTTCCACTGTGTTTTCAGTGTTTTTATGAGTGATGGTCACTCATTGGCCTGAGAGGTGTCTTGTGTCCAAATTTGGTGTCAGTTCGTCCAGTGGTTTTTGAGTTATGTTAATCCTACAAACTAACATTACATTTTTATTTATATAGATACTAGCCGTCCCCTGCCACGGGTTGCTGTGGCCCACATGGGGGTTCTGTGTGGGAGGTTTGGCCCAATTCGTTCTATCGTTGGTGGGGTTCAGGATGCTCTGTGATTGTAGGTGAACTACCAATCCCAGCAACTACAATTCCCAAATGTCAAGATTCTATTTTCCCCAAACTCCGCCAGTGTTCACATTTGGACATACTGAGTATTCGTGTAGAGCAGGGGTAGGGAACCTTTGGCCCTCCAGCTGTGGTGGACTTCAACTCCCACAATTCCTTGAGGCTCGGCATTCGCCCCAAAGGCTTACCTTGGCCCAATGCCGAGCCTCAAGGAATTGTGGGAGTTGAAGTCCACCACAGCTGGAGGGCCAAAGGTTCCCTACCCCTGGTGTAGAGTATGGTCCAGATCCATCGTTGTTTGAGTCCACAGTGCTCTCTGGGTGTAGATGAACTACAACTCCAAAACCAAAGGACACTGCCCACCAAACCCTTCCAGTATTTTTTGTTGGTCCTGGGAGAACTGTGTGCCAAGTTTGGTTCAATTCCATCGTTGGTGGGGTTCAGAATGCTCTTTTATTGTAGGCAAACTATAAATCCCAGTAACTACAACTCACAAATGACAAAATCAATTTTTTTGAGTGAAGGACATATATTGGGTTGTTAGGTGTCTTGTGTCCAAATTTGGTGCCAATTCATCCAGTGGTTTATGAGTTCTGTGAATCCCACAAATTAACATTACATTTTTATTTATATAGATATTATTTTATTAGCATAGTGCAGGAGACAAGGTGGAACTGTCTTCCTGACCCCCTCTCTTCACTCTGGTCCTAGAGCAGCATAATAATAATAAACTTTATATATATAAATAAATATATGAAGTTTATATATAAATACATATATAAAGTATATAAATAAATAATAAACTTTGTTTATATTCTGCCACCATCTCCCAAAAGGGTCTCAGGGCAGCTTACAAGACACTGCAGTGGAGTATATAACATAAACAATACATGAGTATAAAACAATGTCACATAAAAATGATAAAACAACTACTATCAACACATAAACTAAAGTAAAATAACACAATTTAAAATGCAGAACCATCAGTAGTTAAAACTAGCTGCCACCAATTCAAACTAGAGTGCCAGAGTGTCAACCTCATATGGTCCTGCTTAAAGATCCATGTTTTTAGGCCGGATTGGAAGGAGTCAAGGGTAGGGGCTAACCTAATCTCTTTTGGGAAGATATTCCAGACCCGGGGAGGAACCACAGAGAAGGTCCCCTCTCTCATCCCCACCAACTGCACTTGAGATGGCAGTGGGACTGAGAGAAAAGCCTCCCGTGCTGATCGCAAAGCTTGCGCCAGTTCATAGGAGGAGATGCAGTCTGGAAGCATATAGGGCTTTGTAGGTAATAACCTGGATCATGAATTGAGCCTGGAAAGTTGCCAGAAGCCATTGGAGCTGCTTGAGTAGGGGCATAGTATGTTCCCTATAGCTAGCCCCAGTTTGTCATTTGGCAGCTGACCTTTGCACTAACTGCAGTTTCCAAGCCGTCTTCAAAGGCAGCCCCATGTAGAGTGCATTACAGTTGTCCATTCTGGATGTAACTAAGGTGTGGACCACTGTGGCCAAGTCGGGCTTCCTGAGGTACAGTCACAGCTGGCGCACAAGATTTACTGGTGCAAAGGCCCTCCTGGCCACTGCCGACACCTGAGCTTTGAGTGTCAGTGCTGAGCCCAGGAGGACCCCCAGACTGCAGACCTGTGTCCTCAGGGAGAGTATAACCCTGTCGAGGACTGGTTGCCACCCTAGACCCCGATTGGCCTCACAACTGACCAGGAGGACCTGTCTTGTCTGGATTAAGTCTCAGCTTGTTGACCCTCATCCAGTCCATTATAGATGTCAGACACTGGTCCAGGCTCCAGGGATCTTCCTTGGATTGAGGTGGAAAAGAGTAGGTAGAGTTGTGTGTCATCTGCACCCAACTCCAAAACTCCTGATGACCTCACCCAGCGGTTTCGTGTAGATGTTGAAAAGCATGGGGAGAGAATTGAACCTTGTGGGAACCCCCAGGTCAATGGCCAGGGGTCCGAACAAGTGACCTGCCGCATCACCATCTGGGTACGATCCTATATAATGCAACTAGCGGTCCCCTGCCTGTGGGATTTTTGGTTCAATTCCGTCATTGGTGGGGTTCGGAATGCTCTTTGATTGTAGGTGAACTATACATCCTAGTAACTACAACTCCCAAATGTCAAGGTCTATTCCCCTCAAACTCCATCTGTATTTATATTTGGGCATATTGAGTATTCGTGCCAAGTTTGGACCAGATCCATAATTGATTGAGTCCACGGTGCTCTCTAGATGTAGGTGAACTACAACTCCAAAACCCAAGGTCAATGCCCACCAAACCCTTCTCGGTTTTCAGTTGGTCAGGGGAGTCCTGTGTGCCAGGTTTGGTTCAACTCCATTGTTGGTGGAGTTCAGAATGCTCTTTGATTATAGGTGAACTATAAATCCCAGCAACTACAACTCCCAAATGACAAAATCATAAGGTTTTGAGTGATGGTCACTCCTTATGTACTGAGATGTTTTGTTGCCAAATTTGGTGTGATTTCGTTCGTTGGTTCTTTAGTTTTTAAGGTACTCATGCACAGAGCATTTATATATATATAGATTGGAACAGCATTTTAAAAACAGTTCCATTAAAACACTAAATTACAGCAATTAAAACGTTTTGGAAGTGTTTTCAAAAGCATACAATTGTTTATTAAGGCATTGTTCTCCCACTTGCACATTTCTGAAAATTCTTGTGTTCTCACGTATTCAATCATTTCTGCTGATGTTCGCCCAAAGTTGTAAATTAATGATAGATGTCTTCCATCCTGAAATATTCTGGCTCCATCTCAGTTTCCGGACAGATGTTGACTCTTCTTAATTGGTGTTAGCAAAGCACAAGCCTTGTGTTGACTTCCTTCTTAACCTCAACTTAGAAGAGCCATTGTCTCTGATTAATGTAAACATGTTGTTTTTCAACAAAAAGTTCATCAAATCAGCAATATTAACACTTACTCGTTGTCATAGTTCTCATCGGTAACTTTTAATTACAGTCCATGAATTGCTTGACAATAATATATTTTTGAGGGCTATGATTCCAACCCACCTACTTTTAAGATCTGCAGAACTATTTCCGGGTGTTTTGGGTGTGGCTTAGGATCTGGATCCATCCTAATGTGGAAAACAGGTTCTGAGCTTATGAGATCCTGCATTCTTCTGTTCCACAGAGGCGTGGGATGAAGGGAAAAGCCCGGAAGCTCTTCTACAAAGCCATCGTCCGCGGAAAGGAGATCATCCGCATCGGAGATTGTGCCGTCTTCCTATCGGCCGGCCGGCCCAACCTGCCCTACATTGGCCGGATCCAGAGCATGTGGGAGTCCTGGGGGAACAACATGGTCGTCCGAGTGAAATGGTTTTACCACCCAGAAGAGACCAATCCTGGGAAGAAACTCAATGAAGGCAAGGTAGGTGGCCTCTGAAGCGTGAAACTTCCTTATTCAAGGGGAGAGGAAAGCTCTGGCTAGGATCTCAACTTTGAGAAGAAAGCCAAATAACAGGGAGAGTTGACTTATTACGTGGCACATATACCTTATACCTATATGCCTATACAATGTTCCCTCGCTATTTCGCGTTTCACTTTTCGCAGACTCGCTGTTTCACGGTTTTCCTCTCAGTCCTCCCTCCCTCCGGCCTTGAAGGCCTTTTCTTCCTTTCCTTTGCTCTCTCTCTCTCTTCACCTGGCGAAGGGAAAGGCGAGGGGGCTTGTTCCCTTTCCTTTCCCTTCCCTTCCCTTCCCTTTACCTCTCCCTTCTCTTTCCCTTCTCTTCCCTTCCCCTTCCTTTTCCTTTCCCTTCCCTCTCCTTTTCCTCTCCTTTCCTTCCCTTTCCCCTCCTCCCTTTCCCTTCCCCTTCCTTCCCTTTTTCTTTTCTTCCCTTTCCCTTCCTTTTCCTTCCCCTTTCCTTTCCTTTCCTTCCTTCCCTTTCCTTCCCTTCCTTTCCTTCCTTCCTTTCCTTTCCTTTCCCTTCCCTTTCCTTTCTCTTCCCTTTCCCTTCCTTTTCCTTTCCCTTCCCTCTCCCTTTCCCTTTCTTTCCCTTTCCCCTTTCCTTCCCTTTCCTCCCTTTCCTTTCCCTTTCCTTTTCTTTTCCCTTCCTTCTCCTTTCTCCCCTTTTCTTTCTTCCCTTCCCTTTCCCTTCCTTCCCTTTCCCTTTTTCCCTTTCTTTCTTCCCTTTCCCTTCCCTTTCCCTTCCCTTTCCTTCCCTTCTCTTTCCTTTCTCTTCCCTTTCCCTCCTTTTCCTTCCCTTTTCCCTTCCCTTCCCTTTCCTTTCCCTTTCTCTCCCTTTCCTTTCCCTTCCCTTTCCCTTCCTTCCTCTCCCTTTCCTTTCCCTTCCTTTCCTTTCCCTTCTTCTCCCTTTTCTTTCCCTTCCTTCCCTTTCCTTCCCTTCCTTCCTTTCTTTCCTTTCCTTTCCTTTCCCTTTTCTTTCCTTCTTCCTTTCCTTTCTTTTCCCTTCCCTTCCTTCCCTCCTCCCTTCCCTTTCCTTTCCTTTCCTTTCCCTCTCCTCTCTCTTCCTTCCCTTTCCCCTTCCTCTTCCCCTTCCCTTTTCTTCCTCTCCCTTCCCCTTCCTTTCCCTTCCCCTTCCCTTCCTTTTCCCTTCCCTTTCTCTTCCTTTCCCTTTCCTTCCCCTTCCCCTTACCTGGCTGGATCTTGGTTTTCGCAGCATGTTAATTTATTGTAAATGAATTTGTTAATGTATTGTATAATGTTTTAAATTGAGTTTTATGGTTTTAATTGAAAGTTTTATTGTATAAGTGGATAGCATCATTGATGCTTATGTGAGGCCTCCCTGAGTCCCCTTTGTGGGGAGAAGGGCGGGGTAGAAATGAAATAAATAAATAATAGTTATTTTCAGCCTCAGATGAAAGTAAAGTTGAGACATCTTTGGACAAATCTTGCTGAGAAAATTGTGTGATGGGTTCCTTAGGGTCACTATACATTGAAACATCTTGAAGGCAGACAAAAAACAAAAAAGTCAAGTGAATCCAAACATCTGAGCAGAATGTATTGTTTTTCCACCCTCAATCCTTCCCACAAGACCAGGTTCTGGGCGCAGTCTAAAAGGCTATTTTGTTCGTAGAAAGCTTTGAGTGTTATTGTTTTTGATACCTGCTAATCTCACTCCTTTCTTTCCATTTTTTCTCTTCACCTTCACTCTGTTGGTTCTTCCTGACTTCAGCGCTGGGATCAGAAGTCCGGGAGGAGCCTCTCCACGGCACTTCAGGGTTCCAAACAGAGGAAAGACTTCATGGAGGTGAGTGTGGGCAGGGGGTGAGGGCAGAGACCCCTTATTATTATTATTATTATTATAACTTTATTTGTACCCCGCTAGCATCTCCCGCAGGATTCGATGCGGCTTACAATAGGCCGAAGCCCAACACAAAACAACAATACAATATCTAGCAAATAAAAACAGTTAAGCAGAAAAAACAATAACAATAGCAATACGATAAGACAATATTAAAAAACTGGGTCGGCCAGAGTGGGGTACAAGGTTAAAAAGTGCTGATGTGTCGGAGGAGTAAGGGATTATGATATAAGTGCAGTGTGCAGTGTGCGGTGATTTTGGTGCTAAAGTGCTTCTAGGATTTGGTACTGGGAGATTCCTAATCTGAAAAGGCACGTTGGAACAGCCAGGTTTTCAAATTCTTCCTGAAGACTGCCAGTGTAGGGGCTTGTCTGAGATCTTTCGGGAGGGTGTTCCAGAGGCGGGGGGCCACCACGGAGAAGGCCCTGTCTCGCGTCCCCACCAAGCGCGCTTGTGACGCGGGCGGGATCACGAGCAGGGCCTCTCCAGATGACCGGAGTGAGCGTGTGGGTTCGTAGACAGTGATGCGGTCACGCAGGTAGGGTGGTCCCAAACCGTTCAGGGCTTTGTAGGTAAGCACCTGCACCTTAAATTGGGCTCGGAAAATAAACGGCAGCCAGTGGAGCTCCTTGAACAGGAGGGTTGACCTCTCTCTGTAAGGAGCCCCAGTTAACAACCTGGCTGCCGCCCGTTGGATCATCTGAAATTTCCGAGCCGTTTTCAAGGGCAGCCCCACGTAGAGTGCATTGCAGTAATCCAGTCTAGAGGTGACTAAGGCATGGACCACCCTGGCCAGATCAGCCTTAGTGAGGTACGGACGTAGCTGGCGCACAAGTCTCAGTTGTGCAAAAGCGTAAGTGATGAATCCAGGAGGACTCCCAAGCTGCGGACCTGTGACTTCAGGGGGAGTGTAAAGATATTTCAGCCCCTTCTAATATAGTATGACTCTGAACTCAAAAATGCACACAAGTCAGTTGTGGCTTTAAGTAGAAAAGAAAATAGTTCATTCACTTTAGTCCAACAGTGATACAAAGCCAATCAGAATAGTTGATCTCACCACAGTATAATAGCAAACAATGTATTGTCGAAGGCTTTCATGGCCGGAATCACTGGGTTGTTGTAGGTTTTTCGGGTTATATGGCCATGTTCTAGAAGCATTCTCTCCTGACGTTTCGTCTGCATCTGTGGTAGGCATCCTCAGAGGTTGTGAGGCAAGCAACCTCTGAGGATGCTTGCCATAGATGCTGGCAAAACTTCAGGAGAGAATGCTTCTAGAACATGGCCATACAGCCTGAAAAACCTACAACAACCCAGTGATTCCAGCCATGAAGACCTTTGACACAAAGGTGTCACTATTTCAGCCCCCCACCCCACCCCCCATAAGAACTATTTATGATTTGGGATAATTTCAGATTTTAGAATCCCAGATAAGGGGGATGCTAAACTTGTATTTGGAAATAGTGTGCCCAGGAGGGAGTCTCTTGTTTGGTATCAGCCATTGATTGAGGTTCTGGGTTTTAGCCTGCCACTTTTGGACTCTCGCTTGCTGAGGTGTTCCAGTGAGTGTCTCTGTAGCTCTTAGAATAATAATAAATAATAATAATAATAACAACAACAACAACAACAACAACAACAACAACAACAACAACAACTTTAACTTTATTTTTATATCCTGCCACTATCTCCCTGAAGGGACTTGGGGCGGCTTACAATGGGACAAGCCCGAAAGTATAAAGTAAAACATACAGAATAGAATAAAATGAAAACAAATTTAAAATCAACAACAGCATCAGAAGAACAATTACAATCAGAAATGCAGATTTTAAAAACAGTGTAATGTCTGAAAGATTAGGTGCTGAGTGCGGAGGGATCAGGAAATGTGCCATCGTTCCTAGATAGGGCCCAGGGAAAGTACAAATACGATTCAATTTAGTTTGGGTCACGGCTGGGAGAGTAACATCCTTAGACATTCACAGTAGCAGGATTTCAAGTGGGAGGGCCAACTCCTTTTTAAACTCCTTATGGAAAATGGGAAGGGTAGGCCCCAATCTGATCTCTGTGGGTAGCGAGTTCCAGAGCTGAGGGGCCACCACCGAGAAGGCCCTCTCTCTCGTTCCCACCGGCCGTGCTTGAGACAGCGGTGGAAGCAAGAGCAGGGCCTCCCCGGGTGATCTTAAGATGCGTGCTGGTTCGTAGGGGAAGATGTGATTTCGAAGATAGGTGGGTACCGAACCATTTAGGGCTTTGTATATTTTATTTATTTATTTACGACATTTCTATCAAGCCCTTCTCACCCCGAAGGGGACTCAGAGCAGCTTACAAGATATCTATACATGCAATATATTATATTATTAGCATAGTGCAATATCAGTATTATCTATTACTATATTGTACTATACCATTATATTGTAATATTATTAGTAATATTACATGTAATATAAAAAATATAATTATATTATTATTAGTAGCAATATTATATTGTATTACATTATAAAAATTAAATATTATATGTATCGTCGAAGGCTTTCATGGCCGGAATCACTGGGCTGTTGTAGGTTGTAGGTTTCGGGCTATATGTCCATAGTCTAGAGGCATTCTCTCCTGACGTTTCTCCTGCATCTATGGCAAGCATCCTCAGAGGTAGTGAGGTCTGTTGGAACTACGAAAAAGGAAACATTCACACCTAGCTCCAGCAGACAGGAGTTCTTTGTCCCACCCTGGTCATTCCACAGATATATAAACCCTTTTTCCAAGTTCCAACAGACCTCACTCTAGGTAAGGTAAACGTTTTCCCCTGACTTTAAGTGCAGGCAGTCATGTCCAACTCTGGGGGTTGGTGCTCATCTCCATTTCTAAGCCTAAGAGCTGGCTACGGAAGAGGGGTAGTCTTGTACGGTGAATATATCTCAAACTCTATATTTTAACTGGAAAATGTGGGAGTCGTCTTTTATGCCCAGCCGTCTTATATGCTGGAATATACGGTAGTTAATTTTGAATATTTCTGACAGAACCCTGAAGATTTTAGAAGATTGAGAGCAATAGGAGATGTGTTGCTTCTTATTCTGCTTTGGTGTCTTCCACGTTGCCCGGCTAACCTCTCCCCTTCCTTCTCTCTTTCTCTCCTTTCTGACCCAGCGTGCGCTGTACCAGTCTTCCCACGTTGACGAGAACGACGTCCAGACAATCTCGCACAAATGTCTGGTGGTCGACTTGGAGCAATACGAGCAGATGCTGAAAACCAAGAAATACCAGGACAGCGAAGACCTTTACTACCTAGCGGGGACATACGAGCCCACCACGGGCATGATATTCAACACAGATGGGGTCCCCGTCATCTGTTAACTACTTTGGGGGCGGGGAAGAGAGAAAATAAAACAGAATTCTTGGAGGAATCCCACCCTCCCAAAGCATTCGGAGTAACGCCCCTCGCCTCTCCGTAGAGGAAGGAAGAGACGACGACAAAGAAGAATGGGATGTAATGAAATGTATGTGCCTGTTTTAACGACAGCATGATTGTTTTAACACTCGGTCACATCGTTCCAGAAATACAAAGCGAAACCCCGGAGGGGTCTTTCAGAAACAGAACGATCGAACTCGTGCAAAAGAAGGGAATAAGGTTGTTTTTTTAATCTTTTCACAAAACGACACAAGGCAGGAAGTTTGCAATCTGTCCGTACACGAACTGGTACGACTTTGGGGTGCTGTGCCACATCGATTGCCGGGATAAAGCTGAGCACACCTTCCTTCCCGTGGTTCAGGCGTGCATAGGATATTTCAGGAAACTCAACGTCTTCTCAAACCTTCAGGGTCATCCACACAGCCTTCCTCACCAAAAACTAAGATGAACTATGTTGCAGGGTCAACGAGACGCTCATGGAGCCTCCGCTCAGGTGTTTGCTCCACCTGAAAGTCTGCCTGCAAACGGAGACCTGAAGGAAGGAGCCACGGTTGAGAATTATAGTATTTCTTGGACATAAATTTGCAGCCTGGAGATGCTGAGAGAGAGACCAGCCACGCAACGGTGTCCTATCTAGATCCATTTTCCTGCTCCTTCCAAACATTTGGTACTTTTTATTCCAAGCCGGGGTGGCTGAACGAGAAGCGTTTCTTCCTCCCATTAAGATGAATGTAAAGTGAACGGCTCCTGCTTGGAAATCCCGGATCTTGCTTCCATCACAACCAAGATTTTGGGGAAAGGCGTGTGTTTGGGACGTTGGCTGTTTGGCTCTTTGCTGCTTCAGGAACTCAAAACACTTACCCTTCCATATATATAAATATATATATCACAAGCACCAGGGGCTTCCTGCTGGCGCAGTGGGTTTTTACACCTCTGAGCTGCTGAACTTGCTGACCAAAAGGTCAGTGGTTCGAATCCGGGGAGCAGGGTGAGCTCTCGCTGTTAGCCCCAGCTCCTGCCAACCTAGCAGTTCGAAAACATGCAAATGTGAGTAGATCAATAGGTACCGCTTCTGCGGGAAGGTAGCCGGGGTGAGTTCCCACTGTTAGCCCCAGCTCCTGCCAACCTAGCAGTTTGAAAACATGCAAATGTGAGTAGATCAATAGGTACCGCTTCTGCGGGAAGGTAGCGAGGGCGAGCTCCCACTGTTAGTTAGCCCCATCTCCTGCCAGCCTAGCAGTTTGAAAACATGCAGATGTGAGTTTGGCTTTTGTGGGAAAGTAGCAGGGGCAAGCTCCCACCGTTAGCCCCAGCTCCTGCCAACCTAGCAGTTTGAAAACATGCAAATGTGAGTAGATCAATAGGTACCGCTTCTGTGGGAAGGTAGCCGGGGTGAGTTCTGACTGTTAGCCCCAGCTCCTGCCAGCCTAGCAGTTCAAAAACATGCAAATGTGAGTAGATCAATAGGTACCGCATCTGCGGGAAGGTAGCGGGGCGAGCTTCCACCGTTAGCCCCATCTCCTGCCAGCCTAGCAGTTTGAAAACATGCAGATGTGAGTTTGGCTTTTGTGGGAAGGTAGCGGGGGCGAGCTTCCACCGTTAGCCCCATCTCCTGCCAGCCTAGCAGTTTGAAAACATGCAGATGTGAGTTTGGCTTTTGCGGGAAGGTAGCGAGGGCGAGCTCCCACTGTTAGCCCCAGCTCCTGCCAACCTAGCAGTTTGAAAACATGCAAATGTGAGTTTGGCTTCTGCAGGAAGGTAGCGAGGGTGAGCTCCCACCGTTAGCCCCATCTCCTCCCAACCTAGCAGTTTGAAAACATGCAAATGTGAGTAGATCCATAGGTACCACGGTAAACGGCGCTCCATGCAGTCATGCTGGCCACATGACCTTGGAGGTGTCTACAGAGAACGCCGGCCCTTCAGCTGAGATATGGAGATGAGCACCAGCCCCCAGAGTCTGACACAACTAGACTTAATGTCAAGGGGAAACCTTGACCTATGTCATGCACCTGGACCTTCTGAAGACTCCTCGGTGTTTCAGACAGGACAGAATACTCAAAACCATTTCCCCCTTCTTCCTCCCCCACTGGGCCCCCTTCGTAAAGACTTAAGGAGAAGATGGCACTTGCAGAAACGTGGGGCGTTTACCCGTGGGGGGGGGTGTAAGCGTTGGCCGTGGCACCTCCCGCTAAAGTTTGCCAGCCCACCCACGCCCATCCCTCCATCTGTCCATCCGTTGAGCCACGAGAGATACAGGGACGCAATCAGTCACGGGCAAAGCCGCACGGGCGAAAAGTTCGGTGATGGGGCGAGGTGAGAACGGACAATAATAATTCTGTATTTTGCACTTAAAGAATCAAAACAAACGAACTCGTACACTACACACGCACCGCTRAGACGCCGTGATTGTTTCTGCCCGAGTCGGACTGTACCATTCCAGCACTACAAGTGGGGAGATCYGTGGACAGATATTTGTGTTTTTTAAAAATTCTGYGGCRAAGTATCCGGTCCCGGGGAAAAGGCGTCTTCCTGTGTTTTCCACCCTTTTTTCCGAAATCACGACCGATTTTTAACCGAACCACACTGGTGCTGCTTTGTATCGCCTGCCTTTTTCCCCCCCCCCCCCCGAACCCCGGACTGCCACTTCCAGAAAAGAGACCTTTCGACAGATCGACGTGTCTTTTAAACTCACTCCACCCACCCATTCGACAACTCTGTACAGTTTGAATCTACCAAAAGACTCATATGTAGTGTTCTCCTTCCTTTTTTCCCTTCCGGATAGTAAGACGGAAGCAAAACAACAAGAGAGAGGAAGCGGAAAAGGAAGGGGAAGCGGGGAGGGAAAGCAAAAACGGAATCCAACTTTTTAATTAATAACTATAAAGTATAAATATATAAATATATATAAATATATAAACATTTTTTTAAAAAAAACTGTGAAAAAAAAATTTACGAAATTATGACAAAAAAAAAAGCGAAAACACGGTCTGACATTTTAGACGCCTCTATTTTTTAATTTCCTGTTGGATTGTGTGACCGCAGGGGAAGAAGAAGAAGAAGAAGAAAAATCCGTACGGAAACTGTGTCTCTCTGTGCTTGTGTCGAAGCAACTTTTGTGTGAGCAAGTGTGTTATTATACAAATAATAATAATAATAATAATAAAGAAGTGACACAGAGAGCGAGGATTGAAGCGAATGTTAAATAGAAAGCACTTAACTGCCCATTGCCTTCTATGGAACACAAGGATTTTTTGTAGACAATCGAGAGGAAAGGAGCCAGGTTTTTGTCCCTTTTCCCCCCACGCTGTTTATTATTTTTGTTTTGTTTTGTTATGTTTTCGGTTCCTCCCCCCACACCCCACACCCCTTTTTGCATTCTGTTCGTTGCCGAATTATGTGTGATTCCTTTTCATAAAAAAAAAATCTATGATTGAAAAACTAAACAACCGGAACTCTGCCTTTGATTTTTCGTCTTGGGTTTTGATCGCTTGTTTCCTTCCACAGAATCGACAACACGAAGCCCTTGCCTTCCGTTGAGAATCCTCTCCTTGCTTTCCCTCTTTCTTTCTTTCTTTCTTTCTTTCTTTCTTTCTTTCTTTCTTTCTTTCTTTCTTAAGATACAGTGGTCCCAAACTTATCACAGGGGCTACATTCCAGGACCACCCGCAATAAGTGAAAATCCGCGAAATAGGGACGCCTGCTCCCCTCCTCGCCCCCTTTACCTTCACCTTCCCACTCCTGAAGCAGGAAGGTGAAGGTAAAGGGCGTGAGGAGGGGAAAAGAGCCACCCTCTCACCCTCTTTACCTTTAACTACCTGCTCCTCGGCACCACTGGCAGCGCCCAGGAGCGGGAAGGTGAAGGTAAAGGGGGTGAGGAGGGGAAAAGAGCCACCCCCTCACCCTCTTTACCTTTAACTACCTGCTCCCCGGCACCATCGGCAGCGCCCAGGAGCGGGAAGGTGAAGGTAAAGGGGGTGAGGAGGGGAAAAGAGCCACCCCCTCACCCTCTTTACCTTTAACTACCTGCTCCCCGGCACCATCGGCAGCGCCCAGGAGCGGGAAGGTGAAGGTAAAGGGGGTGAGGAGGGGAAAAGAGCCACCCCCTCACCCTCTTTACCTTTACCTACCTGCTCCTCGGCACCACTGGCAGCGCCCAGGAGCAGGAAGGCGAAGGTAAAGGGGGTGAGGAGGGGAAAAGAGCCACCCCCTCACCCTCTTTACCTTTACCTACCTGCTCCTCGGCACCACTGGCAGCGCCCAGGAGCAGGAAGGCGAAGGTAAAGGGGGTGAGGAGGGGAAAAGAGCCACCCCCTCACCCTCTTTACCTTTAACTACCTGCTCCCCGGCACCATCGGCAGCGCCCAGGAGCGGGAAGGTGAAGGTAAAGGGGGTGAGGAGGGGAAAAGAGCCACCCCCTCACCCTCTTTACCTCCTACCTGCTCCTCGGCTCCACTGACAGCACCCAGGATCAGGAAGGGGAAGGTAAAGGGAGTGAAGAGGGGAAAAGAGCCACTTCCTCACCCGCTTTACCTCTGCCTTCCTGCTCCTTGGCACCACCAGCAGCACCCAGGAGCAGGAAGGTGAAGGGGGCAAGGAGGGTGGAAGAGCCGCCTCCTCGCCCACCTGCAATAAGTGAAAACCTGCGAAATAGGGATGCCCGCTCCTCTCCTCGCCCCCTTTACCTTCACCTTCCTGCTCCTGGGCGCCACCGGTAGCGCCTAGGAGCAGGAAGGTAGAGGTAAAGGGGGCAAGGAGAGGAAAAGAGCCACCCCTCACCCACTTTACCTTCACCTTCCTGCTCCTTGGCACCACCAGCAGCACCCAGGAGCAGGAAGGTGAAGGTAAAAGGGGTGAGGAGGGGAAAAGAGCCACCCCCTCACCCTCTTTACCTTTAACTACCTGCTCCCCGGCACCATCGGCAGCGCCCAGGAGCGGGAAGGTGAAGGTAAAGGGGGTGAGGAGGGGAAAAGAGCCACCCCCTCACCCACTTTTTCTTCACCTTCCTGGCTCCACTGACAGCACCCAGGAAGGAAGGGAAGGTAAAGGGAGTGAAGAGGGGAAAAGAGCCACTTCCTCACCCGCTTTACCTCTGCCTTCCTGCTCCTTGGCACCACCAGCAGCACCCAGGAGCAGGAAGGTGAAGGGGGCAAGGAGGGTGGAAGAGCCGCCTCCTCGCCCACCTGCAATAAGTGAAAACCTGCGAAATAGGGATGCCCGCTCCTCTCCTCGCCCCCTTTACCTTCACCTTCCTGCTCCTGGGCGCCACCGGTAGCGCCTAGGAGCAGGAAGGTAGAGGTAAAGGGGGCAAGGAGAGGAAAAGAGCTACCCCTCACCCACTTTACCTTCACCTTCCTGCTCCTTGGCACCACCAGCAGCACCCAGGAGCAGGAAGGTGAAGGTAAAGGGGGTGAGGAGGGGAAAAGAGCTGCTTCCTCACCCTCCACCTTCCTGCTCCTTGTCTCCACTGGCAGTGCCCAGGAGCAGGAAGGTGAGGGTAAAGAGAGCAAGGAGGGGAAGAGAACCGCCTCCTCGCCTGCTTTACCTTCGCATTCCTGCTCCTTGGCTCCACTGGCAGCGCCCAGGAGCGGGAAGGTGAGAGTAAAGGGGGCGAGGAGGGGGAAAGAGCCGCTCCCTCACCCGCTTTACCTTCCTGCTCCTCAGTGCTGCCGGCAGTGCCCAGGAACAGGTAGGTGGAGATAAAGGGGGCAAGGAGGGAAAAAGAGCCGCCCCCTCACCTTTACCTTTCCCTTCCTCCACGTCGCCACCTGGGCCTCTTGCCACTGCTTAGGCCCCGTGATTGAAGAGGTGGCTTAGGCGGCGCGGGGCTCGAGGCACAGGTGGCGACAAGGAGGAAGAGGAAGGTAAAGAGGGCAAGGGGGTGGCTCTTCCTTCCTTCCTTGCTACAATGCAATTAATTAAATTCTTTTTTTAAAAAAATACACCGCGAAATAGCGAGTCCGCAGTAAGCGAACCACGAAGTAACAAGGGAACACTGTACTCGGTTTAGACCAAACCCTTCCAGTATTTTCTGGTGGTCATGGGAGTTCTGTGTGCCAAGTTTGGTTCAATTCCATCATTAGTGGAGTTCAGAATGCTATTTGATGGTAGGTGAACTACACATCCCAGCAACTCCAATTCCCAAGGTCAAGGTGTATTTTCCCCAAACTCCGCCAGTGTTTACATTTGAGCATATTAAGTATTCGTGCCAAGTTTGGTGCACATCCATCATTGATCGAGTCCACAGTGCTCTCTGGATGTAGGTGAACTGCAACTCCAAAACTCAAGGTTAGTGCCCACCAAACCCTTCCACTATTTTCTGATGGTCATGGGAGTTCTGTGTGCTAAGTTTGGTTCAATTCCATCATTGGTGGAGTTCAGAATGCTCTTTGATTGTAGGTGAACTACACATCCCAGCAACTACAACTCCCAAAGTCAAGGTGTATTTTCCCCAAACTCCACCAGTGTTCACACTTGGGCATATTGAGTATGTCTTCCAAGTTTGGTCTAGAGTGCACTCTGGATGGAGGTGAACTACAACTCCAAACCTCAAAGTCAGTGCCCACCAAACCCAACCAGTACTTTCTGTTGGTCGGGCGTTCTGTGCCAAGTTTGGTTCAGTTCCATTGTTGGTGGAGTTCAGAATGCTGTCTGATTGTAGGTGAACTATAAATACCAGCAACTACAACTCACAAATGACAAAGTGGCAATATTTCCTCTTATAGGAATCTATAGTTTAATACTTCCTCTACTATAGAAGTGTGTAGGTGACTCTAGTCAGCTTCCATCCTGGGGGACTTAGAGATTCAAAGAGGAAGGAAGGTGGAAAGGGAGGGAAGGAAGGTGGGAGATGGAAGTATGTTGCCTCCGGCGCCTGGCCTGCGTGCGCCGGCCCCCGGCCCGGCCGGCCCGGGTAGGAAGGGGGAAAGAGTGGAAAGGAAGGAAGCTGAAAAGGAGGGTGAAAGGGTGGAAAGGAAGGTGGAAGGAAAGTAGAAAGGAAAAAACAGGAAATGAAGGATGGGAAGGAAGGAAGGAAAGAGTGAGAAGGAAGATGGAAAGGGTGGAAGGGGAAGGATGGAAAGGAGGGAAGGTGGGAAAGTGGAAAAGAAGGAAGGAAAGTGGAAACGGTAGAAAGGAAGGAAAGGTAGAAATGAAGGATAAGAAGGAGGAAGGGGACCCGTGGGACGGATTGTTAAGGGGCACCGGCCGGAAGATGGGACTGAAAGGAAGAAGATAGTTGGAACAGGGTAGCTTGAAGAAGAGGAAGGAAGAATGGACAGAGAAGGAAGGAAGGAAAGAGGGGAAGGATGGAAAGGGTGGAAAAGAAGGAGGAGGAGGAAGGAAGGAAGGAAGGGAAAGAGGAAGGAAGGAAGGAAGAAGAGAGGGAAAGAAGGAAGAGAAAGAAGGAAGGAAAGTGAAAGGGAAAAGAAGGAAGGTGGGAAGGAAGGGGAAAGGAGGGAAGGAGACGAAAGGTGGAAAGAAGGAGGGAAGGAAGGGGAAAGAAAGAAGGGAAAGTAGGAAGGAAGGAAGAAAGAAAGGCTGTACATCTGACATTGTTACTGGGTTTCACACATAAAGCCCATTCCAATTCCGGTTTATATTTTGCCTGAATTAAACCCATCCCTAACTTTTCAGATAATAATAGTAATATTATATTTCTATCCCAGGATGGTTTACAACATATAGCAGCAAACATTCAGTGCTGTAAATTGCAGGAAAACCATGGCTTCATCGCGTTTGTACCTTGGTTTTCCAGAACTGTCGCAACACACACTTTGGGGGTGAAGCACCGGAAAAAGTCAGAGAGGAAGAATATTTTCTGCTGGTGTTGATTTTGGAAGGAATCTTTCTTTGGAAAAATAGAACTCCTTTGACAGTAAAAAGGAAAGTGAGAAAGCAAAGTGCGAAATATCCTGAATCTAGCGGCCACGGTGTGGCTATAGTTGTACCATCTTCTGGCTCTCTGATGAAAGCTGGCTATAAACCAGTGACTCCTAAACTTTAGCCCTTTGGATGTTTTGAACTTCAACTCCCAGAAGGCTCAGCTTGGTTTGGACAGTGATCTGGGATTCGGGGAAATCCAAACCATGACGAAGATCAGACTTTGGGAAACACTTGGGAGGACATAGAAATCCTTGGGACCTTTTTAAATCAAATCTGCAAAAGTGGAACTTTGTATTCCCTGTCGTGGTCCCTGTGGATCATACATGTGGTAATGCCTGCGCCTGCGCAGAGCAATCGGAACCTTCTAGATATATAAAAAGATACAATTAAATCAAGCCCGCCCACTCCCCTCCACCCATAAATAGCCAGTGGGCGGGCTCGCCTCTCAGTTCTCTTATTCCGCCTGAGCGAGCGTAAGGAACCTCCTTTTGTGTGTATTTTATCTTGGACTGCCTCATATATTGACTTGTTGTGTGCCAATGATGTCGGCCACAACATCCTTCAA